CCCCCACTGCTCTGATACACCATACGTACAAACAATATCTGTCCTAAATCCCAAAATCTTGATATTGATCTGCCCTTGGTGACTTAAGTATTGAATGTGACTTACAAACAGTGGCATAAACACCGTACATCCAAGCAGGCCATCGCAAGGACGTGCTCCATGTGTATGACTAGTATAAACATGCAGGGTTTTGTAGAGTCCAGAATTTGGGATTTAGTGTCATGGTTTTCTCCAGCAGGAGATCTCAGTTCACTAAGCTACCATTTGCAACTCCACTACATCCCAAACCAAAGGGAAAGTGTGTTTAATACACACGTTTGGCTAGATTGTTTCATTCTTCTGTTGTGCCATCGTGACATGATTCATGTGTATGTCATAGCTACCATGTTTTATTAGTTTGAATAGGAAATTCTTTCTACTGTCTCTACGTCTTTGTCACCAAGTTTCTTTTTTTCATGCTGGCCTGAAACACTGCTAATACAAGCTGTCAACACTCCATATTTGCCCCAAGTATTTGTCAAGTTGCCAAGGCTCCCTCACCACCTCTCTCCTGATGTACAGTATGGTTATGCAGTTGAAGGACTATTCTCATGTTTTAGCTCATTCTCTGCAAAAAAGATTAACTTGCATTACTTCTAACCTTTGTTAGCGGCGTACCAATAATTATTAGATGGTTTATATTCATTTCGCTACAGTAAGAAAGTCAACTTACATGCAGTAAGTCAAGCGTACCTCAACATCTGACACGAAAAGTCAAGTTACCTAAAATCAGCAAGACACAATGGTATTCTCCTTTACATCCATTTTTCTTAATGTTAGTCTTCTGGAATAGAGTTTCTGATACAATAGCTTGTAAATATATTGGCTTTTAACAAGCTGAAGCTCTCAATCGTTATGCTTGAGTGTCCATATTTCGACTGAATGTTCACCAATGGATCACTCTTCTCCAGCAAGTTTCAAGCCTGTAAGTTGACTTTCATTGTGCATTGAAATGACTTCCTTTAGGAAGACGGTCTGCAGTATTGTCTTTATAATTTCTACTTAATGGCCAAAAACCAAACACCAATGTAGTCCTTTAACGTGGTCACAGGAGCGGCGTCGGGTATTGTGCTTTTTAGGAGAATGAATGAGAGCTATTCATGCATCCAGTAACCGGTCCTGTAGACTCTGAAGTGTTCATTTAAAGCTGTCTTACAGACGAGGTGACTGGTTATATGCTGACTACCATTTAAAGCTCAGGACAAAAAGCTTCCAGGCAGAACTGCGTGACGTTTCCTAATTCTCTCGTGGTCGGTGGCACCAAAATTGAGCACTGCTGCCAAACTTCCCCACAAAGCCTGTCGTGTTGTTGCAGATTGATCGATCGCTTTAATCTCTGGATCTAGTTTCTGGATCTTTTTTTTTTTTTTTTAATGATGTTTTGTACTGTACCTGATGATGAAAAGAATAATCACTATAGCTGATTTATTTTTGTATAAATGAAGGCAATAGGATTACAGTCTGATCACTGTAGTTTCTTTAGCCGTCTATCTCGGACTGATTGTAGATGGAAGGTCGCCTGATGCGGTTACCTTTATGTCGTGACTTTGGGACATTTCGTTCATTCAAGCGGGTATTTCTTTAAAAGCTAGAGACTTGTGTGACGTTCCTCACGTGGGATGTCCAAAGAAAAGTACTTTCAGGTGTCAGTACCTCTGTAGTCATAAGCACTACAACAGTTTATTTTTTTGTAATTTGGCTGCCTGTAAATTATGTTCATGTCGAACTTATTTGGGATGCTTCGGAGTTGGATTCTGAGTTAATTTGGATCTTAACGTTCTGTTTTTGTGCATTAATCATTTTTGCTCGCTGTGAAAGAATAGGCCCCTGTGGGTCCAAACGGGAAAGACATTTTAAATCAACATGTAATGTTAAAACTGTTTAACGCTGGTTTTCTCTAAAGCTGGTCAATTCAGTCGGCAATGCAGAGTTGCTGATTTTGAATTGTTGTATGAAATGTCTTCTCTCCTGTGATGCAGGAGGACACAGACGTGTTTATTTAAAAAGGAGAATTTGTGAAGCACTTGGTTTGATTTCTTAATGTAAGTGGTCATCAATGACTGTATTCAACATGGGGGGTACTTTAAATAATGAATTCTGCTGTGTCTCTGCTACATTTGGCTTCATTCACACGCTGCTCATTTTCTCTTCTGGAGCCGACAGGTTGATTAAGGCACAACCTTCCACCCCATTAACATTATGTTTTGATGACAGATTAAGCCATTGAATCAGGGCACGAAGCGTATTGGTCCACTGGGTCATTATGTAAGTAAATGTGTCACTCCTACCTCTAGAGAACTGATTTCCCATCACTAGGATGCCACTAAAATATCCACCCATCCTAATACGGTGGTGCTGTGGTTGATTGTCACACTCTCAGGGCTCTGGGTAATGTCCTCTAATAATGAGACAAATCATTACTAGAGGACAAAGTGTGTGTTCAAGTGATAGTCCTCATGTCATTATATGTATGAACCTGTATAATGTGGCACCTTTGTCCCATTCCTCGGTCAAGGATTGTCCCGTCAATTAGTCGATCAACAAGGAGAGCTGTCCATTCAAAATGTGAGATCCGTGATCTTGACATTGTCCTTTCATTCATTAAAAGGAAGCATTTACTCGCTCCTTGTGAAATAACTATTGTTGAGAAATGTTTTAAAATACAGAAATCTGGATGCAGATTACATAAAACCAGAATTGGCATGCTTTGTTTACAAAAGAAAGATGTTATGATGTAGCATTGGCTTTTTTTTTTTTTTAAATTCCCTTTTTTTTTTGTAGGCCCAGCAGAGGTGGCCTTCATGGACTGTATGAGTTTCGGAGCGTTATTGCAAAACTGTCACTGAGAAATCCCTAACCACTAATCTTCACTTTCCCTTCATATTGTCTTCATAGCTGTTGTTCGAGCCTATGCTGTAATCCACAAAGACGTTTAGAAAAGAACCCTAATGCCTTGCTTATAGCATAAAGAAGACCGAAGATAATCAAGTATGTTTCTTGAACTTTCTGGTGAGCCAGACGGGAGACTGCTCAGGGGAATCTACCGCTGCTCTGTGATCAAAACCGCTTACCTTTTTAAATAAAATACAAAAAAAAAAAGCAGCTTTTCAGGACTTTATTAAAAACTGCCTTATTTACAAGTAGATCATACACTTTTTGAAATTCTAGTTGCGATGTTTTTTTTTTTTTTCTTTTGAACGTCAGAAAAACTTGCTCTACACACACAGGGGATCAAGTGCAAGGAAACTGCCTAAATTGGAGTTATGAGGTTTTTCCACTTTAAGCAGCATTATATACATGTCTAATGTGATGCAGGAGTTCAAACAAAATGCACTTTTTATTTTTGTGAATTTCATTAATTTGTATGTTTATTAATTTCTTTTAAGGAACTCTTGAATAAAGATTGTGGGAGAGTTTGGGGGGTGAAAAAAAACTGCAAATGGTTCATTGTACAGATATGTTTGTCTTTGTCAAATGGAATAAGAACAATTTAGATGAAAAGTAATAAAGAATTTCAAACCTGAGTTCTGAATGAAAGACCAATCTGGTTCCTGTATGAAAGACTGTTTTGTAAATGTTAAACTGATCACATGGAGACTTGCCCAAGATGTGATTTGTTATTATGGAGCTTTGTGTTATAAAACTAAGCATGCAAATATATCAAAATAACCTTGTGAAAATATGGCAAGGACTATATTAGGCCCATTGCATCACCAAGGCAGAGTTCCTGCAGTGCTTTCAAAAAGGACACATTTCTAAATCCCTGCAGTGGTGCCAGACATTGCAGATCTTACTCAAATGTCTGAAAAATGTATTTACCATGATGACTTCTATCCAATTCAAAATACACCAACAAGATCCTTTTCTGGAACTGGAGGAGGGGAGATGTATGCAGACCCATCCTCTACAAATCTACAGGAAACACTAACAGAAAGGCCTGCCTCCCCACATTAATAGTTCAGTCCACAGCACTTAATTGAAGAGCCTCACTATTATCATCTATCCTCAAACACTCTAATGATGGTTTGTTTTGCTCATAAATGCTATCAAAAGTTGGCGGTTCTTTATCAGTATTTTAGTGCATGCATGCATACATTGTATTAAAGACCACTGTAAACCTGACTGTGTTATGAGAAAGAATATTAAATTTCCATTACTGATCTATATCCTTCGTCTGTTATCTGTATGGGGTCTGGACTCTGGGCTGATGCTGCGCATGCGCACATCGCAGTTAGTCTGCGTGTCATGTTGATGAATTCTAAAACTGGGTAGTCAACATGTCTACCGCTGCTGCTCAACAAAACAATAACGAGGAGCCCGGGCTTCACGGTACGTACCGCCGCCAGGTCTCCTGCGCGCCATGTTACAAAGACTGTTTAACATGTCTTCAATAGGTGTGTGTGTCTGGAAAATCTTCGTTTTAATCAAGATTTTATTGTAAAAGTTACATCGGCTTCGGTGTTTCCTCTTCTTCTGGGAGGGGCGGAGGGTGATGTTGTTCGACGTCACCGCGGACTAGCCAATGGCGTTGTGATACATGTTTGATTGATGGAAGGGCAGCCAATCACGTACGCACGCCAGCACTGGGGCGGGCTCTAGCCAAAACGAAAACAAGTTTGGGACAAAAGACGAAATAAACATTGCTTTTATTTGATGCTTTTTTTATTTTTTTTTATTTTTAATTGTCCGATAATGGGTCCTATCACTCTCACTCCTTCTGTAGTCCACTCGCCTTATTATTCAACAGGCCACACAGTCTTTCTAACAAATAAATAAATAATAAAGGAAAACAATGGTAGGATGTTAGGCCAAGTACCTATACACCACAGGCGCATTTTAACAATAAACTGGCCAAAGACTTCAATTGATAAACAATTGTATTAAAACGTCTGCTCAGACGGAAAAGCGGGGCGTGCGCTTTATATGTGACATCACCGCTGGAACAGCGACATGCCTGGGCAAATAGTCTCACATTGCACTTCACACTTATGCAAGACATCACATGAGAGCAGCACCGATGACATACCCGTCTATAGATGGGTAATCGGTCATGTATACGTGCGTCGTCGAAATAAATACATCAATTATATATTGTTTTTAGCGAGACCAAAAGGGAGGATGGGGGAGGCGTCTCGTGCTATAATATAGTTTATATTGTGTGGTAACCCAACACCGCTGGACATGAGAGATTGCATAACACCTTTCCGTCTGCAAAAAACAACAACCGTGCAAGCCGTTTGTGGGGCAGTGGCACAAAGAAATGCATGCAGTCATGGATGCATTGCACAGCCAGTTCATTTGAATGCACAGTGTCAGTGGTGCAGGAAATGTAGGTCAGCTGTTTCCATTAGAAAGGAGGCAGAGGCGTGTCTCTGTGTGGTGTGCAATCTGCTAGTTTTAAACACAACAAGCTAAATTTCCTCTTGACCTTTGTGTTGCCAAGGCTCTTGGGTAGAGCTGGAGCTGAATGGGAACACATCAGGGACCCAGGGCGTGCAGACCAATCTTCCAGAGACACCCGCTGCAGACCAAATAAACGCCAATGCTGGCATGAGTCAAACTCTGCAGACCTTGGAAGGGGTGCCTGAGAGTGATGAAACCCTGATTGGAGGACTAGAGCATGTGCCCTCCTCCTCCTCGATCCACAATGGAGATATGGAAAAGATTCTCCTGGATGCACAGCATGAATCCAGCCAGAGTAGCTCCTCCTGTGATAGGTAGGAATAAATGCCATTATATGCGCTTTAAAGCTCAGGGAAGCGTTTGGTGTAGTAATTTATTTCTTTTTTTTATCCCAATATTGTGACTCAGTCCTCACAGGCCACCAAGTCCGGATCAGGATGAGGGTCAGATAACTTTTGATGTGGAGATGCCCAGTCCACGAGATAGTCAGGTAAAACAACGTATTTAAAAGTTCAATCCCTTTTCAGGTGTTTTCATTTGACACTAAAGCCTAATTACTTTGCCGCTATGTTTGCAGTCAGATGACGACAGTGCAGAGAAGGACAGAGAGGAAGACATCCTGATGAACAAAGAAGTAGACTGGGTCGCTGACTGGTCCAGCAGACCAGAAAACGTTCCACCAAAGTAAGCGGACTCTCACGTCCAGAATCATTCACTGACGGTGGTTCAGGATATGGTTTTCTGAGGTTAATTTGCAGTAGTTGATTGTTTGATTGTTCCTCGCAGGGAGTTCCACTTCAGGCACCCGCGACGTTCAGTATCTCTCAGTATGAGAAAGAGTGGGGCCATGAAGAAAGGTGGCATCTTCTCTGCTGAATTCCTAAAAGTCTTCATCCCTTCCTTATTCATCTCTCACATTCTCGCTCTTGGCATCGGGTAAGTCTGAATTAATTCAGTTCTATCGTCACGCAGGCACACGATGCAAGGCTTGTCATTGCATCGAAAAAAAGTTAAATTTCTTCAATCTGCACTGATGTTTTGTACTTGTACAAAACTTGTTTTATTTCAGTGACTCACCATGTGCCATAGGAAAGGGTCAGTACGGGCTGTGTCATTGTCAATTTATCAGTACACTGCTATTTTGGTTTTCAAGATGACTGTAATTTATGTGTCTGACGCCTGTCTACTCAGACCTGGGCCTCATGCGTTATGTATTCATAAAACAGGCTGGCCTGGATGTTTATGAAAATGTGTTCCTTCGTTTCAATTGATCAACTAATATGGATTCATGGCTTTATTTCAGTCCTACATCCTATATGTCAGCATTGTCATTTTCTGTACGCATTATCTCTTTACATGCAATTCATTTCAGGATTTTGTTTTCTAGTGTGTACATCGGGAAGAGAATCGCCACAGCCTCCACCAGCTCTTACTGAAGAGCAGATGCAGCAGTGCCTGGATGTTCTCTTGTCTCCCAGTCTCTCAGCCATCCTCCTGTAGTCGAGCTGTTTCTCTGCATCTGCTGTACGCCCACATTTCTACTTCCAGTCAGCCTTCAATTCTGTCACATTGTAGATGTAGTTGTAGAGTTATACACATGACGTAATGTGGTTGCACTCCATCACATTTTTGACACAGGGCAACATTTTACCCAGCAGCCAGTCACCAACTTCTTCCACCCGTAGATGACAGACCCTGTTAGAGCTGCAAAGTATTAGTCATCCTGTTCAACTCAAAAATATGTGACAAGGATTTGATGTCGGGTGGCTTGAGGGTTGAAGTTTTCTCCACTTGTTTTGATGTTATGTCATGAAAAATCTGGACTTCTCCTAAGCGGCATCTCTCCACTGTTGTCTCAGTTGGCAGAGTGTACGAGCCTAAAATATGCGCCATATCCACAAAACAACAAATTGAATTGGCCCTGGGAACAGAGGGGACTCTAATCGCCTTAACTTGTTGAGCTAATCATTCAAGGTGCAGTTATTGGAGGGGAAACAGATGATGCTGCAGTGGGATTCGTTTTTAAATCCCACACATTTTTGAGAATAGAAGTTGTATCACGTTGACTCCTGAGGTTTTCTTTTAAAAGCTTCTTTTTTTTTTTTTTTTTTGGGAGGTTGGAAAGCTTAAACATTGATCAAGTGCTCCAGCTTTTTACAGGCGGGTTGTTTGAGTATATTATGATAGTGGAACCTAGGGCGGATGGCAATTTACCAGGCCATATGCTATTTCTATTTGTTTTTGCCTACATATCTTATTCTTTAACATAATATAGAAGCAATGGCAAAGTGCCAAATTTGTATCTTTCACCACTGCACATTGGTGATTTATCTTAGACTGTTCTTTTTATTTTCTGATATGTTTAGATATTTAAAGATGTCGATGTGAAAAATAATTTAAGCTGTGATCTGCCCCATGTAATAGACACCTTTTGACATTGTATACTTTGTTTATACATTGATATTAATGCATATTATATCATTATTACCTAGCTTTGTCTCAGTGTATGTAATGTGTTTTTGCTGTTGTTTAATTGCTGAAGTGCAGTGGCAGAAACCACCACAGAGGAAGGTATTTCCAGGGGCCTCGATGAAGAGTGTTATCTGGCTTTTATGTAGATTACACTGTGCAATCATTTCACATTATATGATACAATAAAACGTGTCCAGTGTGTGTAGAACTTAGAGTAATACTAGAGGAGCATTTCCTAATGAAAATGCATGTGACATCTGTATATAGATGCTGATTGGATGAGAGGGTGATTCTTCTGTCAAAGGTTGTAAATGGATGACATTATAGAATCATATGAAAAAAATCCTCCACCATAATGTACAGTATTCAAAGCATTGGTTTGAAAGCTCTCAAGATGCATTCAGGCTTTAGTGCATTATATAACTCACAGTAACTCATAAACTGTCATCATCATAACGGGCTTATGTACAGTTAATCAGTGTGCAATACAGAACATTTTGAATAAAGTTTGTACTTTATACAGCGGCTGAGATATAAATACAAAGAGAGTGGATAGTGTTCAATAGACTTTAATGCATTATTTAAGGGATAACTAATAATATGGCGTATCATCATTATGGGCTCCATACAGAGGCTGAGACATTAATACAAACATACATTTACATTTTGACATGAATCACAAAGAAAAGAAAGAGAGTGTGTGTAATTGCTGCATGTCAAGGTAAGTTGTGACAACTCCTACATCCTCTTCTAAGTCCATGCCCTTCCCTTCTTAGGTGAGGTTTAAACTCCTCTTCCAACTTATTGTCCCTTAACTCCTGTGGTAACCTAGCTCTGTTAACACAATCATTCCAAAATAAATTCCATATTACTTACTTATTTGTGTTTGTACTAAATCTTAAGATACATAAAAAATAGCTATGCATTCGTAACTTTTTTTTAAACCCAGGAAAGATGAACTGAGAGCGCTCAGTTGAACACATACTAATCTGGAAGCTGCGTTGTACTTCTACAGTTGGCCGCTCTACAGTTTGGGCCTAAGGATCCGGCTCAAGGGCCATGTCACTACAAAGCATCTCTTCTCTTTGATTTGTTCATGGTCCATTATCAATAATGAAGAAAAGATGAGGGGGCAACATTATAAATGGATGTGATGCATTTTTAGTTGCTTATAATCCTGTCCTTGCCTGACTGACACATTTTAGTCTAGTCCGTTGTGGTCCATCAGAGAGGTCAGATTTTACCTTTTGATTGCATGGAATTTATCCTTTTTTTATCCACTTGACAGACCGTTGCTTGTTCATAGGCAGGCCCTGGTTAACAATGTAATAGTATTATAATGTCAAGTACTATATCAGATTATGTTCCATCAGTGCTAAGAAGCAAGAATCTAGGAGTCAGATTGATATCATAATGGAATCATGACATTCAATTTTGACATTGCTCACACATATGTTTTAATTCTTCCCAACTATACGTAGGGTAATTATAAGTGTATCCATGTCAGAGACAACTTGGATTACTAATATAAGGTAGCCTGTAAAACAGATTGTGCCCAGAGTAAAAGGTCGTTTTACATGATGTGACTGCACCTGTAAAAAGTTCCCCTGACCATGGCCATCCTGTTTTCAGAAATATGTAATTGCAAGGTTAATCCACCATCGTTACAATTGAGGATTCATTCTTTTTACGCTTAGTAATAGTAATTATACGTTTTCATAATTATCTTATTACCCAAGAAGCTGCCATGCTCAATTAAACAGGTGATGCTTAATTAACCTGTTTACCCCAAACTGATAACGCAGCAGGGCGGGGCAGTGCGCATGCGCGATACCTCTTTGTGGCCCTTCTCTTCTAGATGCTTGCCTGGTCTTCAGGGACCCATTCCAGCAGCAAATCCAAGGATAGGACTGTGAGGCAAAGATATAACCACGCATTTGCTATTATTTGTTAGGCTGCACTGTGCAAACCGTACATCGTCAGATAGGCACAGATCGCCCAGTGCGTCGACTTGCCATCAAGCAGAGCATCCATTCATCCTTTCATAGGCAGCTGAGGTGTTCCAGTCTAGCTAGCTTAGCGTTAGCCGAGAGGTAGTGGACAGCTGTGTCAGAGGGATCTTCAAAATGTCGGGGTACCAAGGAAAGAAGAACATTCCGCGAATTACAGTGAGTATTGTTTTATTACATGAAGAATATGACATTTATCCGTCGGTAATGGTGTTTTTTGTTGTTGTGTGTAACGTGCGGTGAGCCTCAGGATTAGACCAAAAGCTAGCCCGACGCTTAGCTGTCGCGTCCATTCATTTACACCGACGCTGTCACCACCAGCAGCAGCAGCCGTGCTTCAGCTCCTCACACCGAGAGGATGAACGATGATAACCAGCCAGCGGGGGGGGGGGCTTGCACTTGCAGCGAGCTCTTTGGCGGTTTCTAACGTGGAGCTTTGGTAGTATGTGTCTCTCTTTGCTCCTTTAGCTGCCGTTAGTAGCTGTTAGCTCTCCTCCTCTGTCTCCATGACAGCATCCTCAGCTCGCAGGTTCCTTCACTGTCATCCCCCTCATCTTTCATCCTCCATCCTCTGACATCTTGCTCCCTTCATTATCTTCACTACATCTTTGCAAAAACTTCCAATTCTGCAGCTATAGGACAAGCTCGCTATTTAACCCTGATTCTGTGATATACTGTGTCAAATTGAGATTTAACAGTACAATGTCTGTTTTGCGTTGTGGTGCAGCTTTTCAACCAGACAGCACAGCATTAAGGGCCTACAGTAGGGATGCCGGGATAGTTAAAAGAAGTAAAACCTCTTTAGTAAAGTAGGTCATTGGACAGCACCCATCCAAACTGTTTTTTCCCCTCTAAGCTTTCATCGTGCAGCAGTTGTAGCTGAAGGCATATAAGGAGAAACTTCTCTAAGTTTGATAATTTAAGAGCAACAGCATGTCTCAGCTCGGGGGTCATGCTCTGTTGTCTAGGACTCTCTCACAGGTCCAGGGTCATAAACATAGAGGCCCTGACATCTCACACACGACATGCAGACATGCTCCTCCAGACACCACTTATTAGTTTGGAATGAAGCAGAATCTGCAGTTTCACTCTGCTGAGCTTTTAACAAAACACCTACACAAGGCTTTGTCCCTGAACAACAGTAACTGGATTCATTCAAACATACAGTCGTATCTAGTACCACCACACAGTCACTTTATCTGTTCGCAGGATGACAGAAACATAGTCATTATTTTAAGCACTGATTCAGTTTTGTAGTCAATTAAAAAGATAGTCACAATGAGCACACTTCTTTTTGTTTTCTATCATTTTTTAGGTTAATTTGGCTAAAAAGACAACAAATACAACTGGGAAATGTTTTTTATATTTATGCAGATTTTTGAGTTTGTCCATTTCTGTTTTGTTAGATGCAGCTAAAAATAATACAGTCAAATGATAATAGTCCTGCAATATATTCTACCTTCATGAAAGAACATTATGTTCAGTTCTGTGGTGCTACTGCATTGAATTGTGTCATACTGACAAGTGTTTCTATTATTTTGTACAGTGTTCCAAACAGTTCCTATTTCCATTTCTAGTACAGACTACGCTCTTGACACGGAACCCTTCACTAAGTACATTCAGTTCTTGTTAATCAAGTCAGTTGTATGACTGCAGATCACGGGATTAATCACGAGGGGCCATTTTTTATTGCGGAGAAGTGCGTCCGTCCATCTTTAACCTCGTATCCTGTTCAGGGTGGCGTGAGAGCTGAAGCCGATCCCAGTTGACATTGGGCCAAAGGCAGGGCAAAGGAGCGCATGTGTGTTTTTATTTTACACAATGATCCATTGATTTATAGATTTACGGACTACAGCAATGCTCAATGAAAGCCATTTTGAGCTGAGGTATGGATCATCTCCAACCAATTTATTACATACTATACTAATGGCCTCATATCAATACAGCCATGACTTTTAGTGCATTCCCGTTGTCCCTGTCCACCTTCTCTGGACATTAGAATCTGAGTGTTTCCTGCGTTGAGGTTTGCAGTAAACCACTTTTGTCTTCATTAGCTCTAACGACTGTCCTCGGAGACCCCGGGAAGCCTGCAAGAGAAGTAGGCCAGCCTCTGGCCTGCAAGTCCTCTTTTCATCTCATACAGGTTGAATTAATTGTGCCGCTCAAGAGTTTGTGCTCTTACTCGAGAGCTTGGATCAAGACTGGCCTCAGATGAGGCGTCTATTATGTGTGACGAGATCATGTAGGGTAACCTCTCTATAAGTTATAGATTCAACAGGATGACGGTGGGGATTGATGTACGGTTTGTATGTGCGACGTGGTGACCATTAGCAATTAGCAACTTTAGCAGCATTGTCTCTGCTTCAGTAAAAATCTTTCTTGTTCTCTGAAACATGGAAATACTCTGAGCTAAATGAATCACTGAGTTGTCCCAATGTTATTTTCCATTAAATAAGTCATTTGTCTTTGAAATCGGTCAATTTTTCTCTTGACTTAAGGAATAGACTATTAGCCACAAGGGATTAAAAGAGATGATTTCTTGCTCTTTTAGGAAGCTGGATCATTTTGTGCTTTATGGATGATGTAAAGTTCTGTCTCCTCCTTTCAGAGTGACCGTCTCCTCCTCAAAGGAGCAAAGATAGTGAATGATGATCAGTCATTCCTGGCTGATATCTACATGGAGGATGGAGTCATCAAGTAAGTTCGATTTGAAGATTGGAGCCTAACTCCTACCTGTTGCCTATTACTCTGACTCTTGGAGTCTAGATTGTCTTCGTTTTTATCACGTTCCCTTCATTCATTTCATGTTATTTTCCATTCATTTGTCTCCTTCAGGCAACTAGGTGACAACCTCATTGTTCCCGGGGGAGTTAAGATCATAGAGGCTCATGGGAGAATGGTGATGCCCGGGGGCATCGACGTGCACACCCGATTCCAGATGCCTGACCGAAGCATGGTGGCAGCAGATGACTTCTACCAGGGCACCAAGGCGGCCCTGGCTGGGGGGACGACTATGATCCGTATGTATTATCTCCGACACATTCCCATGAGTGCTTTAAAGCACAGTGGTACCGTCGCAGGGATTATAACATTGCAGATCTGCTTGCCGTCGAGCGTGTGATTTGATTACGCGGTTTGCCTGCGGACCTTTTTTTAAATCCAACCTGTTTGTTTGTGTTTCACAGTTGACCACGTGGTGCCGGAGCCTGGCGGCAGCCTGGTTGCAGCTTTTAAACAGTGGAGGGAGTGGGCTGATGGCAAGTCCTGCTGCGACTATTCTCTGCATGTGGACATCACCGAGTGGAACAAAGGCACTCAAGAAGAGATGGAGGCCCTAGTGAAGGATCATGGTACGCGGGCAGATTCCGTCTTCGCACACATCGAGTTTAAAAATGAAGACGGGTTTCTTGCATGGGGAAAACAGACTACAAAACAGTGACTAAAATATTTCTGCTGTAATTTCTTTTATCCTTTTGATTTTACTTTTCCCCTTTGCTCTGGGTTTCCCCTCTTTTGCTCTCCTTATTCCACCTTTTGGCTGTTTTCTCTCATAAGTTTTCTATCTTCAGGTGTCAACTCTTTCCTGGTCTATTTGGCTTATAAGGATGTTTTCCAACTTTCTGACTCTGAGGTACGCTCGGCTTCTGGTTAATATTAGCGAGCTCTACAGCTGTCTTGTCATAGCATATGTTTTTGAGGCTGTTAGAAGTCTTTGGGGTGGAAGCTGGCGACCACGAGCTGACCCGTTTGTGCCTTTTTCTTTTAGATCTATGAGGTGTTCGGTGTAATCAGAGACCTTGGAGCCATTGCACAGGTGCATGCTGAGAACGGAGACATCATTGCAGAGGTAACGGAACCACCAATACAGTTGGTCTCAGCTGTAAGCAGCTATTGCCATTTTGGATTATAATGTTCTTGTGTGGTATCGTTTTAGGAGCAGAGACGTATACTAGAGCTGGGGATCTCTGGCCCTGAAGGCCATGCACTCAGCCGCCCAGAGGAGGTAAGATGGAGCACTGGCCTCTCGAAAGAGAAAGAGTTTTGTGATCGTGTACTTTTAAGATCAAAAGATGCAGGATACAGTACAAGCAAGAAGAGACGCTGTCAGGAGACCAGCATGGAGACCAGGCTGATGAATCTGACTTTGTGTGTCTGCAGGTGGAGGCCGAGGCAGTAAATCGTTCTGTCACCATAGCCAATCAGACCAACTGTCCCCTCTACGTCACCAAGGTGATGAGCAAGAGTGCTGCTGATGTCATTGCTCTTGCCAGGAAAAAGGGTAAGGATAGAAATTTAGATCTTTTTTTCTTTGCATATCTTCTGTTGTCTGTCTGTCTTTTTTTTTTTTTTTCCGCTGACAGCCTCCTGTCTACTCCTTTTAGGTGCCGTGGTTTACGGAGAGCCCATATCTGCCAGCTTGGGCACAGATGGTACCCATTACTGGAGCAAGAACTGGGCAAAGGCAGCAACCTATGTCACTTCTCCACCGCTCAGTCCAGATCCCACCACCCCCGACTATCTCAACTCTCTGCTGTCATGGTAGGCGCTCTGTGCCAGGACCTGAAGATAACATGCCAACATTTGACGTGTGCTACTGCTGTGTGCTGCATTCTATTTTTACTAAGCTATGCCCTTTACATACACCTACTTAATACAAAGAGAGAATATTAAATGTAACAGATGAATGTCATGGTTTTGTCGTGAGTAATTGGCGATGTAAATCGTGTCCTTAGTCTTCTTTCTTTGTTTCTTTTCTAGCGGGGACTTGCAGGTGACTGGTAGTGCTCACTGCACTTTCCAGACATCTCAGCGTGCAATAGGCAAAGATAACTTCACCCTAATCCCAGAGGGCACTAACGGCACCGAGGAGAGGATGTCCCTAATCTGGGACAAATGTGTGGTGAGCTCGATGCGACCCACTTGTCACGCATTCCAAAAATTCCTCTCATGAAGTACTTGAGAGCAAATTACCGTGTCATCCTTTGCATATGTTTCGATGCAAATGTGTTGTCCTAATAGGTGACTGGCAAGATGGATGAGAATCAGTTTGTGGCGGTGACTAGCACGAACGCGGCCAAGATCTTCAACCTGTTCCCTCGCAAGGGCCGCATCGCTGTGGGGTCTGATGCCGACCTCGTGCTGTGGGACCCGGATGTCACTAAGATCATCTCAGCTAAGAGCCACAACCTGGTCAGAGGGTTACTTTGCCTGTTTAGACTCTTATTCACAGTGTATTTTAATAATGTATGTGTCCTAGACATGTTAAGACTTTATTGTTTAAGTTTGCACATGATGTGTGCATAACATGCTAAAGCAGCTCTGTTAAGAATAGAGGTGCAGCGGCTGTTAGAGGCACTAACACGGGAGCAACAATAGATTAAGTGGCACAGAATAACACGCAATCCAGGTGACAATTAGCTTTGAGAATAGAGTTCACAGTCAAACACTGTAGTTTAATCATTAAAAAAGTGAAGTTAATTTATTTATTATTATTATGTACTGTAACGGTATCCTGAGGGAACAGACAGAACAACAACTTTCAGATGTACTGCTACACAATGTCCGATTGAAAACCAGTTTACTTCTGTATTCATCAAAGTTCTTTCTCCCCCCCCCCCCCAGGCTGTGGAATATAACATCTTTGAGGGCACAGAACTGCGCGGAGGACCTGTGGTGGTGATCAGCCAGGGCAAGATTGTGTTGGAGGAGGGCAGCCTTCACCCCACGGAGGGCTGCGGTCGCTACATCAGCCGCAAACCCTTCTCTGACCACGTTTACAAGAAGATAAAGGCTCGCAGCAGGGTGAGTTCCCATCGCAGGTAGTCGCACCTCCGAGCAGGCGCACTAATCCAGTTATACAGAAACTAAAATCTTCCAATACAGTTAGCCGGTCAGCTTCTGGTCTGATTGATTGGCCTGTATGTTTAGCTCACAGAGTTGCGAGGGGTCCCCAGGGGCCAGTATGACGGGCCGGTGTGTGAGGTGACCGTGACCCCCAAGGTGATGTCCACAGTCTCCTCAGTGAAGACTTCCCCTGCCAAGCAGCAGCAGCACCAACAGCAGCAGCAGCAGGTTACTCACCAGCCAGTGCGCAACCTTCACCAGTCTGGCTTCAGTCTGTCTGGTGAGTGAAAGCACACGTTCATTCCTGTCAGCCGGGCTTGTTCACAACAAGGCAATTAGGTTATAGTGTGTTTGTTATATGTTGATTTTTTTTTTTAGGTGCCCAAGTTGATGACAACATTCCTCGTCGCAACACTCAACGCATCGTGGCTCCACCTGGTGGAAAAGCCAACATCACCAACCTCGGCTAGGCTCTTTCCTAAACTGAGCCAGGGGTTCAGGGCAACACGGGACCAGAGGCCTCTCTTTCCGCTGTCACGTCACATCTGGTCACCTCTGACTCCCCCTGCACCCCACACACAAGCACTCCATCCATTCTTATTCACACACTACCATAATGTCACTTTGTGCAACAAAAAAAAAGAGAAAAGCACTATTCCACACTGTTTCATCTTTCCTGCCATATTCCATTGTCAAGGAAGGATCAAGTGAATTGAAGCAGCTTTTTGTTTTGGCGTTTTTTTTTAAACCCAGTTTGATAATGGATGAAATTAATTTGTTTACATTTTTGTATCGTTTTTGCTGTACTTGTTTGAGCTGTTAAGTTGCCCTCTTGGCTCAACAAGTTGACAGAAAAGAAGAGGTTAGTTTCACGAGCAGGTGTTTTAGAAACTGCAGGTGTTCACAATTGTTCTCAATGCGCTGTTCACTTAACAGATGGAGTGGAGTGGAAAGCCTCCATTGTCCATTTTGTGACACCGTTGAGCTGTAAGGTTGCTGTTTTAGTACAAAAATGTTACATTGTTGCCACAAAAAAAAAATCTAAATGCTAATCATGAAAGATTTAGACTGAAGAACATAGTTTCTGCATTTCAGCACCTAATTATATGTGAAGTTTGCGTTATTTGATATTTGTGTAGATACTGTGTGAAACAGAACAATTCACCTTCGTCCTCCTTTTGAATTATAGTTAATTTATAAAAAAAATAATCGATAAGTCATTTTGGAAAGCGTTGACTGCACTGAAAGGAAAAGAAAGGGTATTTTATGGTTGAACTACTCATTCGACTCCGCCCTGAATATGGGAGAGAGAAATGGCTGGCACATTACATGTTGTCTGAGTCACGTGAACCTTTTCCCCTCATCTCATCATTTGGGTTTTCCCTCATATTTATTAAAAAGATTGTCAGGGCAACAAGCTTCCAATAATCCGACGGGTGTATATTGTTCAGGATACAGACGGACGCTACAAAGAAGCTAGACGGGAGGTTTGCCGACAACTTCTCTGCACCTAGTGCTATATGACCATTGCTGTATACGTGCAGATGATGTCCACACCCAACACAGCACTCACCATTCACCCACTTTTGACAAATATGTTTTGCACTCGTAACAATCCAAATGATAAAAAAAATGTATGTGAGCTTGCAACTTTTTATTTGTATTGGATATGTCTGTGTGTTTTAGAATATGTGTTGGAATCAAACTACTTGCCTGCCTGTTCTGTAAGATATTGACAGCACACTGTATCTATGAAGGCTCTTTAAAGAAGTGGAACCATGATCTTTGAGACCTGATGAAAAATGCTTCGGTATGTATATGAAATCCCCCCCCACAGTGCGTTGATGATGTGTCCCCTGTTCTCGGTGTTAGTGTCGTGAATGAATTATCAGATATCCAGTTTCTCCTTTCTTACCACCTCTAAATGCCCAACACTGTCGGCACCTGATCCACTCGAGGTTGTAACTGTACTCACTAAACCACAGCGGGTCGTCAGTTTCACGGCACTGTGCGGCCATACTGTAAAACACTGGATTATTTCTTCCTCATTGCCTTGTCAAGTGTAGGTTTTGTATGCCAAGCTATAATGTGAAGTGATTTACATTTGGGGAAGCGTCTTGGTGATGGTTATTGAGTTGTGATGTTGAGCACTGTTGTTGCCCCTCTCCCAGCAAGTGTGATACTCTCTTGGTCATGTATGTTTTGTAGGATCTACCAGGGTTTTGGGGGGGGAAATCATCGGTCTTGTCAGCATTTGACCCTATCTGTGTTGACTTCAGTGGATTAAAATAATAAAAATGAAAGCTATGGTATTGTCTTTATATATATATATATATATACTTTAGATATACATGAACAAGTTAACTAAAATTAATTTAAATGACACTTCTACAGTATCCTAAAAATTTCATTCCTGGAAAAATATATAATTTGGTAATTATTATGGGAAATGTAGGGATGATGTTCATAAACATTTAGGTTTAGATAGTTTAGATAACGGAACTACTTCTCTACATTTCAAAGCATTTGTCTGACAGCATACTGGTTTAATTGCAGATTGAGATTTTACAAACAAAAACATTAGATGACCTCATAAAATATAACATATTGTTACTGTTTTTCTTTCATCTCATTAGCTCTACTTCAATGAGCTCCAAGTGTGAAATGCTTCTTGCTCACAGATGTCTCAGTATTTACAATCCAACACTAGGATATTTAAAGTAACAATCCACTCACAGAATGATGTATGTGCCGAGTTTAGATTAGAAGGCTGTTTTCTCATTCAAGTTTCTCTCTGCTATACAGAAACTCTCAATTTAAGGTGTGTACAGTACATACAAGCTGGTTTTGTGACTTCACAACTAGTTTGGAGATCAGTCGTGGTCCAGTATCCAACCTACTCTAGCACGATGTGGAAACTTTAATTAAACTTCCTGCGCATATTTACTGAGAACAGACTTTTCACATTTATAAAATCAAGATTTTTCAACTAGAGAGTAGATGTAATTTTTAACTGAACTTTTTTTGTGCAACGGACATATCAGATGCAAATAGATATATTTTTAAACATTTTTGTAGTTGTATTCTCATAGGGGTCATTTTTCTGCATCATGAATACTTCACTCTTGGTGCAGCATTTTTGAATGGTGTATGGCTACTTTTACTTACTTTCTGAATCTTAGTCACATAACCAAAGAATTGTAATTAGTTAAATAGAAGTTTACCAACGCAGCACTGTCTCCAACGTCCTTATAATAATTATACTTTTACAGACATTTAAAAAATCCTAAACTGTCATATAACACAAAGTGACCTCAAATTAAAATTTCTCACCATCCACCCACATCCCAGCTGTGGATGGAGTAACTGCAGATAGGCAGTGAGACACTAGGTGGAGGCACAGTCGCGATGCGCAGCATTTGCTTTTTAAGACACTTCACCCACAGGGAGCTGCCGGTAAAATGAACTGAGCAACTTCACAGTGAATGCACACATCAGCAACAGCTCAGTGACTAGTGATGCCCCCTGGCTGCTTGACAGTTGTCCAATTAGGACTTAGCATGATGAATGCACTGATTAAACCTGAAAGGGGAATCCTATAATGTCAATAACTTTACCGTCACCAATGAGAGCTTTAAAGAGAAAACAAAAATGCATCAGGAGGACTGCCCGAGTCCTCCTGGGAAAGGTATGCAAACATGAGTCACCAGCAGTGCTAGCTGTGCTTTCAATCCACTGGAACACAGACACTACTATTTTTAGCATTCATGATTAATTGTATTCCCCTTCAGAGTCAATGATTGTAATCTTTATCAGAATATTAAAATAATACATTGATCATTTAAACATGAAAACATACAATTAGGGAGTGCTGGTGAAACAAATTGGTGGTGTTCTTGGTCTGTTCCAGTCTAATATCGGACTCCTACAAGGATGCAGATCTAATTATGGTATTCATTACAGCTATTGCATTTGGAAGATGAAATATCTTTGTAAAGCGTGGCACACAGATATCTATTGGCTGAGGTTTTGTTCATAATGCCAGCACTTTCTATTGCGAGAGAGACAAAAGAGGGAGGGGTGAAGTCTGTCATCTCAATCATCTGTAGTTTATTGCTGGTGCTGGTAGCTTCCTCTCCGAATAGCATCTGTGCAGAGATGGTGTGATGTCAGGTTCACAGACGTGTCAGTCAATGACAACGCGGACACAGACAAGCACTCTTGCTGCATTGCCGTCCCCTGTGGGTAAGCTGTTGACTCCACTTCTACTGCACTTAACACACAACTGCATCTCGTCCTTTTCGCACTTGCAAAGGGAGTACATCTTGGTACTACAGAAGGAGAAAATAAATCAATAGTTGGCAGAGAATGTCCCCTTGCCCTTTGATGCCGCTTGGTAACCAGAGAGACATTAACTACACACTTGTTTTTTCTCCTTTGCGCTGGAAAACAGCACCCCCGCAGCAGATCTCATAAAAGTCGAGACTTTGCATATGGACGGTAACTAAAAAAAGCACTGAAACAAGGAGTACAGCCTGAGGGAAGAATGTCAGAGACTGTGTATGACTTAACTTGACATTTCTAAATCTGGGGGATTTTTTTAAGAGGCTTGTGGGCCGGTCAGGATTGAGGTCAACAAACCACAAGGTCAGTTGAAATTCCACAGAAGTATATTAAGACATCCATCTGGCACTGCTCCTAGGTACATGAAATTGTAGACATGTGAATAGATGAACTGGACGTTTTCAGGGGCTATGTATTCAGTGAATCATCCAAATGAAACCACAGGAGTCCAAAAATGTCCTCATGAATCCCTTTCTATAGGAATATGACATACAAATTTATTGTAATGTGACGTGGGAGCAGCAAAGTCCGTTCGTTTTTACTGTGTACGGAGCAGTGAACAAACATTATTTTGACAACAGGAACAGCATTAGGCACACTTTGGAGACAACAGGAGCACCACTGACCAGTTTTAAAATTTTTGGTGAAATCATGCAATATATAAAATTTTCCTATGAACATTTTTTATACATTTGAACTGTTCTTCGGTAATATAAAACATGTAAACACATTGGAATATTTTGGTCTCTTTACTATGAGGAATTTTTCTTTTGATCTACTTCAGGGATTCTTTTTTTTATTTACAAAATTTGATACACATTTGCTTTATTTTCTTCCCTTCTAAGCTGTATTCTGCTACAGTTTGTTTTTAGAAATAAATACAAGCCATCTTCTTAATTAAAGGGGTCAAATAAAATATGTATGATAAATATAGATATTTCTTTTTCTTTGACGATCATACATCCAGGAAAAATCACAAAATGTTATCAAAGCTGAAACTTTTTAAAATATAAAAATTCAAAGCAGCCACCATCCAATACAACTCATCCAACTGTGCAAAAGGAAATAAATTCTCATCCGTGACATTGAAAGAGGAGTCATGACTAATGGATGAAGGATTACAGTGGCTATACAGGCTCTCCTTTTTCTGACAGGGACAGTTGGTGGATTTTAATGGTGGGAAGGTTTCCAACTGGAGGCGGCTGGGCGCAGTTTGACTCCTGCGGGGGAGTCACACCACTGAAGACACAGCAGCAGGTCCGATGGAAGCTTTTACTGCAGAGTTTGGCCACTTTATCCCTGCTCGTCTTGACCGGTCCTGATCCACCTGATGGGCCTCCGGGAAAGACATTCCACTCCCTGCTGTCCCTGGAGGAGGGGGTTCTGGACAGGGCCATGGAGGAGGAAGGGCTGAGCCGACAGGGCGCCCCCCTGCTGTCCAGTCCCAGAGTGAGGGGCTGACTGTGACCCTGAGTTTGACTCTGACCTGCCCTCAGATGATGATGGTGTGGTCTGGGTGTCTTTCTCAGACAGTGACCTCCGAGTAAACTCTGGAAAGCTTTCTTAAACTCCTGGTTGGAGCACGGGTAAATGATGGGGTTGATGCAGCTATTGAAGTAACCGAGCCAGAACGTAATCTTGAAGACAGTGTCTGAAGGTCTGTATGCGGGAAAGATGGAGCCTGTGGGAACATTAGGGTGATAAACATTGCATTAACAGGACAGCAGAAGGAACACAATATCCCAACTAAACCCTGAAACATGGAGTTTGATATATTAGAAAACAAGGGCTCTGTGATGCGGAAGGCACAAGTGCAATTTCAGCTAAATGCTAACATTAGCTTTCAAACATGCTCTCAGTTACAATGCTACCATGCTAATGTTAAGCAGGTAATATTGAATTTACATGTGTTAGCATGCTAATTAGCTAAACACAAAGTACAGGTGTCATTGATGGGAATGCAATTAGTTGTGCAGCTGTTTGGTGTCCTCTAGAGACAGTGAAGGCAATCTGTAAAAAAATGAACTGTAATCCATCCAATAGAACTCACTCTAAACCACAAATGTCAACCTCATGATTCCGGATTCAGCATGTAATGAACATGAATGTCTGTTTAGAATTTCGAATCCATGTTTTATATGTCAATCTTTTGAATAAGTGAAAGGTTTCACCAGTTGGTGGTGCTAAAGAATAAGTCAAGAGATCACCAAAGTCATTAGGAGTCATCCTCTGTCCACCATGAATATCTGTACCGAATTTCATGGCAATCCATCCAAAGGTTTTTGAGATATTACATTTAACCTGCCAACCTGTCGGTGGTGCAAGCAGAAAAAAATCTGAGTATCACCTCATCCTCTGGGGACCATGAACTGTAAAATCTGTAAAATAATATATCTTATGACAATGCATCCAACAATTATTGAGATATTTCAGTCTGGACCCAAGTGGTGAGCTGAATGATTACATATTGTTGCATCAAAGGTTGTGTTTATATCAAATGAACAAGTTATCTGCAGCTACTGGGAGAAACATAATTGCTCTGATTAATATCCACTTAGTCTTTCAATTGAATCCAGTTTTGACTAAACAAAGCTCCCCACTTGCCATCAAGGTGAACGATTTTATTAAAATTGCCTTCATGAATTGTGCTGCTTGTGACGTATTCACATCAGAAAGCATGCGTTGGATCCTTAATTAAAAAGCAGAGAAAATAACTTAACAGGCACATTACATGCAGCCCTGTTAGTCATTGTACATATGACTCTTCATGTATCCAGCGACTGCCAGTGAAACAGAATAATTAAATGGCTGCTTTCTTGTGTGACTGCACTATCTATCTATCTATCTATCTATCTATCTATCTATCTATAGAGCTGCTGCTGAAAAATGAGAATGTGATACAGAGATGGATAGAAAGAAGAGATGGAGAGAGATTGAGAACAAATTATTTTGTGCGTGGCTGTGCAGCTCATACATTTTATCCCCAGCTGTGCCAAAAAACAATTCCTTTATAACCCTTCATAGAAAATGAAGAAAGATATTGCAGCTTTTCAAGACACAAATTGTTGTCCAAAATCAATAAAACATAACTGACTGTTGTCATATGAAAACTGTGTGATTACAATTGTTGTCAAATAAAGCACAACGTGTTTCAGGTTGAATGTCAATGCCACAGACACTCAGTTCAGCAGAATTCATTTTGAAGTAGCATTACAGTACTTTTGGCCATCCCGGGGCAGCAAAACAATCTAAAAACACTACATGGACATATTTCCACCTAATATAGTTGTTGTGGTGAACATGTCAGCAAACAGTTGCCTATTTACACATCCTTCAGACACAAAGCAACATTAGCATTCATTTGGAGTTGTGTCCACCTAGTAAGTCAAACATTTACTCTCCTTTTGGCTCTGTTTTTGGTCTCCACCATAGACTGTATGAAATATGGACAAGCCTCTGATGTCACCCATAGGTTTCTGAAGAGCCGTTGTGAAGCTGAAAGTGGCTCCGGTGGTCATTTGAGGAACCACATCTGCATTGGATTAATTTTGTAGCACCGCAGGTCTCCACTAACTTCTGAGAAAAATATCTGATTCTTAAGCAGCTAGCTAAATGTTCGACTACAATCACAAGCTAACTTTGTCTCTCTGTTGTTATTACTAGACAGGTAGTGTAGGCAGATAGTGGTTTTTTATTTGTTTCATCTGGGTCCTAAAATGACATTGGTGACATTGGTGAGAATGAACAAAAAAACAGTAAATTTGTGGGCTGTGAAACCGAAACAATGATCTGATTGACGCTAAAACGCCTAGCAGAGCTGAAGGAAATTGTAGAGTTGGTTGATTCCGTAGGTAATATCTGGATCCTCATGAGCAACCCGTGTTTTAAACCTACAGGAGTGTAACTTTTCACCCTTTTGTTGTGATGTAGACGTGTACTTCAGGGGGTGTCAGTACATCCTGACATCATTGTGGTTACAGGTGCAACAAAGTGCACTTCTGACCACACCCGGCCACACCCAGAGTGAAAACTTACATTTTTTTTTCATCAATCACTTAATGAAGTTATTCTTTAATTTACCTGAAATGTCAAGGAGAGAAGAGGACAATCCACAAACAAACACAGAGCTAAAACAACTCATCATTTTCAATTTTTTGACAAGATCAAATTCCCACGATTAATTTTTCTCAAAATAATGTTTCGGCTGCTGCAATAAACCAAATCAAACAATCATGATGTATCCAGCTGTACACGACAAAACCAGACCATTGCTTGGTCATTTACTCATAAATCTCTCATTGTCCAGAGACTTGTGGCAGCGGTATGCAGTCTGATGCCAGGATTAGATGGGGAACATTGGTAAACTTTTTCTCATTTCCCAGTCAGGAAAAGCAAAAGCCAAATGGTAGCAGCTAAATTTACAAGCATAATAGCATTGAATACATTTTAAAAAGCCCAGAGGGATTTGTGAGGGTTTTGTCATATCTCATATTTCCTTCTCACATTCCCATCATATTGACTCCAGCACATACAGTTGCAAGCCGTGCGAGTTCCCCTCAAGCACACTTCAGGGACAGTAGTAGACGGGAACATCAAATAAAGTCTGACACTGATGTGATGGCTTTATCTGTCAGTCCCGGACTGGCATTGTGATGAAATGATACAGGAAGAAATTACTTTAAGCTTCATTCAAAGATATCTGTTTGAAATACATGTTGATCGGAAGTGCTATGCTTTTGTTTACAGAGAGGAGAGGCACCTGTGCCAGTCAGACATCTAAACATTTTATTGGGCCTATTTATAGAGCGTCTACCTGGCCGAGTCACAACATTTACTAGGCTGCTCAAGAGGCCACAAGGCTCGCATGAATGACAGTAAATTCAGAGTGCGCCCACAAAAGAGCAATTCAATCATCATTAAAATCGCTAGCACTTAAAAACCTGGCAGCGGCATGAATCGAGCTATAAAATGAATTAATGCAGGCGTTAAGTAGCTTTCTTGAAGTGGTCTGACTCATATGTGTGAGTGCAGATTACTAAATGTGTGAATCTGTTTTTAATTTGTGAAATCGTATTGATTAAAAAAGGAAAGGTGCATAATACGAGATCTCTATTGTCTCTCAACAGCGACGCGGCTCAAAGCTAACAGAGCACTTAGCACTTTTGCTAACTGTGTTAACCTGAGGGGGAACGAGAGGGTGGGCACTGTCTTCTGCAGCAACGCCGCCGGTTAGGGCAACTTTGCTGTAACTGCCGTATGAGAGCAGTGTCGAGCAAAGGCCATGAGCCAAGTGGGGTACGCTCATTCACTACCATGCATTAAAAGTCTATGCAGGGCCGGCCCGGCTATGTCAACAAAGCAAGGAGGAGCTCTGATAACAGCACACACAGAGGGAGAGCAACTTCACTCTCCGCTCAGGTAGACATTACTCCACTACATCTTTACATAGCAAATATTTTTTGCTGCTATATTAATGTTGTTGACGACCTATATTACTCCTTTAAAATAACTGTCCTGTGCATCTTTAAAGGAATAGTGACATTGTGGGAAACATGCACATTTTCTCTGTCACCGAGATTTTGATGAGAATACCACTTTCATATCTGTTCAATATTAAGCTGGTGCCAGGAGACAGTTTAACTTAGTTTAGCATACAGACTGGAAACGTGGGAACAGCTTGGCTCTGTCCAAAGGACACAAAGTCTGCCTTGAAAGCTTTTTTTTTTTTAAATCTTTGGTTTTAGTAACATGCTATGATTTGTCAAGTTGTGAGCTTTAGGTGCTGGTAGGTGGACTTTTTAAAAAACTTTACAACACACGAGGGAGAGTGACTACATTCTCTGCGCAGGGAGACATTACTCCACTATATCTTTACATCACAAATAGTTGTTTGCTGCAAAATTAATGCTCTAAATTTCCAGTTGAACTTGTTTAAACAACTGTTGCTTTGCTCAAACAAATGCTACATAGATCTTGGGCATCCTCTTAAATGATTGAATATCACATGCAAGATGAACATGACAATACTCACCGATGGGTAGCACCAGGAAAAAGGGCAACCAGCACAACACGAAGCAGCCAACCACAATGCCCAAGGTCTTGGCAGCCTTCTTCTCACGCGAGAACTTGAGCAGTCGCAGGGCGAAATGTGTGCGGCTACGAAGGGACTCGTCCTCTAATACACTTGTGTTGCCTCTGTGTATCCTGAGTATCACCCGCTCTGAATCGGACTTCTCTGTTTTGTGGCCCTCTCTGAGGCCCCGGCTCTCCCTGTGAGCTACCACATAAACCCGACAGTACATGACCAGTATGATGGCCAGAGGGAGGTAGAAAGAGCCCACAGCAGAGAAGATAGCGTAGGCGGGCTCCTCCGTGATCTTGCATATGGACTCGTCCTCAGGTGCCGGCTCTTTCCAGCCAAACAAAGGTCCAATAGATATGATGACAGACAGCACCCACAGCAGCATCACTGCCAGCAGCGCCCTGCGTTTTGTCACTATCGATGGGTAGCGCAGAGGGTAGCTGACTCCAATATAGCGGTCAACAGAGATCACACAGAGGCTCATGATGGAAGCAGTGCAGCAGAGTACATCCACAGCTGCCCAAACATTGCAAAAGGCCCGTCCAAACACCCAACGATCCACAATCTCAAAAATAGCAGAGAAAGGTAGTACAGTGGAGCTCAGCAGCAAATCTGCCACTGCCAGATTAACTATAAAATAATGTGTGACTGTCCGCAGGTGTCTATGGCAAACCACGGAGAGGATTACCAGGATGTTACCCACAATTCCAAACAGAATCAAGATGCCAAGAACCAGGCCCAGAACCACAGCCTTGACCACGTTAAGCTCTGGGACTAAAACCTGGCTGCAGTTGGAGCAGTTCTGTGTTGGAGGAGGTGGGGTCATGTTGTCCAGCACAGGAACCATCTATTCCAATACGAAGCTGATGCTCGGCCCTGTCCTGCGTTGCAAAGGTGGACTGTAACACCCACCTATTTTATTTTGTTTCACAAAGGGACATCAGGGCATTCTCATAAAAGCCATTAGAGTAATGATCACATTAAGTCGGTCTTGTCACAACATCATTTGAATGATGATGCCTCTGCCAAATGAACCATTACGCGCATCAAGAAAAATAAAACTCCAGGACGCATGCAGAAACACTGAGAGAGAAGTATAATATATGCAGACCAAAATTTACTCTGCTGAAATCAGGTAATCCATCTTGAAAATGTTAATGATGTTGAAACTGTCTGTGATTATGCAGCTGGTACAAGAAAAAAAACCTGTTAGAAAAGCATTATAGATGGGATACACAGATGGGTGTTCACATCTAGGAAAATCTCTCTGCATGTTCTGTGAACCAAAAACTACAGTTTGGGAATACAATTCCTTGAAAGTCTTAAAAATTGGAGTCAGAAACCACTTTTCTGTATAAGGCGGCAGGTGAGCAGTCGTCAACATCCAGGCTCTTCAGTATTGAACCCAGAGACAGATTCAGCCTCAACACAGCAACACGATCCAGCGCCTTTAAAAAGAAAGACAGAAGAATCTGCTTTGAGAGAATTGACACATTCATCACACACAGAAAAGCCCAAAAGCATTCATCCTTGTTTTGTGTGTTTTGTAACTTTTGCACTTCTTTTCCATGTTATCACGGCTCAGATCTATCAAGACTGTGGGCGAGAGACAATGTCTGAGCCACAGCTGCTGTCAGATCAATGTGTCCACGGCCTCATCTTGTGCTTATCGACTAAACACAATATGAGGTTGAGTAATAAAGAAATCAGAACTAACCATATTCTTTTTCCACGGAATCACCTAGGAAGCTTCCCACAATTAAAACGCCAGATGGCATTGAGCCAAACCAGTATAGCTAGATAAACCCGACCTTGCTCTTAATCCCTCCACTAAACAAATCAATATCACACTGTGACCTTTTTTTGCACCTCTTTATACACTAAATATAAAGCTACAGCCAGCAGGCAATTAACATAAATTATGGAAAAAGCTAGCCTCGCTCTGTCCAAATGCAATCCACCAACTAGAACCTCCTAGAAGTCCAGCCCATAACACACCAATTGTCATTAATAGATGTTTTTTGTAATTATATAACAATATTTAATTGGGGAGCTTTAAAATATGGTAGTAGGCAGATTAGTTAGTGGACAGTTTTGGTACATATAAAAGACAACAACAGAAGATAATGATAATAAATATAAATTATAAATTATTTTTTACTCCTTTTTTTTTACTGCTAAGCTAAGCTAATTGTCTGCTAGCTCTAGCGTCATCGTTACAGCACAGATGTGACAATGTTATTGATCTTCTCTATTCATCTTCTCATCGAACGCATTTTCTAAAATGTTCTATTTCCTTAACTTTTGTGAGTGTACCCCCTGCAACTGCATGCACTCGTAATTGTACATTGTTGTTTTTTTGGCTTTGCATTCTGTAATACCTACAGTACAAATTAAATTAAGGTAAAAGAGAAAACCCTCTTTTCCAAGCCAGAATACTAGGCTATTTTCATTGTTTATATAAATTGAAAAATGCAGTTGCTCAGTTGGATTTCTAAGTGACAATGTTGTGCACTGCTTCTCTAGTACTGTTGATTGCGGCCTGGATCGCTCCCTCTGACTTTGATGCATCAAATTAATTTCAGCTTGAATGCTCTGTCCATTGGCTTCAAAACAATGTCTTAGTTCCATGTGAAGTCCTCCTCTTTGACAGATGTGAAATTAATCTTGTATGAGCAGATTACTGATATTTGTAATGGGGGTGTTCCTTACCTAAATGTAGATTACATCAGACTGGTGAAAGTAGTGCAGCCATGTTGACGATTTGGGGATTTTGTTAAGCTGCTTTATTTGAGACTAAATTAAAAGTTCGTCTGAGTTGCCCTCTTTTGCTGTTTCTATCTCTCATCTATCTATCTATCTCTCATCTATCTATCCATCTATTCATCTATCTATCTATCTATCTATCCATCTATCCATCTATCCATCTATCCATCTATCTATCTATCTATCTATCTATCATCCATCCATCCAGATTCACAATACGGCATTTAACAGTCCCCTCAAATCTTTAGCCCCCACTCCCCTCCTCCATTGCTCCTCGCTACACTATTAACGATTGGCTGACCTTTTCCTCTGTCCCCCACAAACCCCTGCTCTTCACTGGATGTACACCTGTTTAACATGCTTAAAGTCTTCCTTTATGTTTTTGGTTGGCTCGTCATGGTGGCAAAGACAGCATTAAAGCAGCCGTCATGACGCAGCTCCCGAGAGCTTCTCCCACCCACTCAAGCAGAGGAAGGAGGTGGACTGCTGTTGCCTCTAATGTAATTACGAAAGTAAGAGTTTATCCACAGGAGAACTGCAGGAGCTCATTACACCATCTTCATTTTGCGCTGTAAAAAATGATTAAATTACCTCAGCTTAAAATACCTCCAGCATTGAAATAGTTTGTTACTGTTATATTAAACGTACTATGTCACAATGAACTAAGCTTGATTGATTTAATATAAGACAAGTTCAGTCATATTGAACTTGACTTGATTGAAACCACATTGCTCCTGTTCTTTGTTTAGTCGCTCATCAAAGGCAGACGTTTATGTCAGTGAGAGTAATGAGATGTATGTGACAATTAAGGCTGCTCAGTGACTTTATGACATTAAAAATATATAATATGGGAGTAAAGATTCAAGTGGTTACTAATCATCATGTTTATCCTTCTTTCCCTTTTGTTATTAGAGAACATGTGTTCAAGAAGGAAGACTAATTTCTTGAGCGTCGACTAGATTACATGTCGGGAAGATTTCCGATGAACCTAAAACTTAATATGAGTAATTATTGCTGCTCATACTTTACAATCATAAGACTGAAACTCTTGATTAAAATAATTAATAAATAAAAGCTTAAATCACATCAGGTTCCTGATTCACTAAATTGCAGTTTGAGTTTGAGGTGTATTAGGATGCAGTAATGTAGTACAGGTGCAGTAATGTAATGCACAGTGATTAGGCTCTTTTCCAGCATGGATCTGTTTAATATTCATGAAGAGTATATAACACATATGTGGGGGTTTTCCAGTGACAGAGCAGGTGTAGCCTACTAATGGACAACTAAATGATCAGCTCTATAATGAATTAGCTGAATCTGCTAGATGCCTTGTTCCCGACCATGTATTAATTTGTCTTGACATTTGACTTTTGTTAAATGTTACAAGCATGTTTCTCCACCACAGGATATTCTACAAATGTGTGTTCTTGGCTGTTTCCAAGACAGACAAACAACAATCTGTTGAAGTGGCTGATGAGCAGCTGCAGCTCAGAGTTGGACAGGAATCCACAATTATGTTGAGGACATTGGGAGACTTGCAGCCTCTCTATGCCTGCAGCTATTTTAATTGGCCAAGAGTAAATATCCACTCTGGCTCTGTTGTCTCAGCCTCTTCACTGCGTGCAGAGTAATTCCCAGCTCTGTAAGATGAAGTCACTGTGCGGGACTGTAGGTGATACCTGACAGAAAGTGCCATCCACCTTAATAAAAATGGCGGAGACAGGGACTTGTGATGGTCTGCAGTCATTGGAGACCTCATAGTGCATTTCTCTGCTATATACACCCACTGTTATACAATAATACGACATTCGAAGGATGGTAGTTCATCATCTTAACGATTTAAGTGAAAGAGATTGATAGAGACAGATTATAAAACAACAGAAGTAGCATCATATAAACTAACAAGCCTTTTTATCAGTGCGACCCAGCCGTGTTATTTTAAAGAGGCATCTCCCGACTAGAAACACATTAAATTCGAGATAAATCACTTAATTGCTTTACAAATCATAGCAATTTAATTGAAATATAAAATAAATCAACATTATTTCTAGATTATTTTACATTTATAAGATAGCCTTCTTAAATTCTGAGAAATCTTTCCTCTTTTTTTTAAATCAAAAGTCCGCTCGTGCGATCAGAAACAATACAAATTTTCAACATCTGCATTACCAGCGCGGACAGCAAGTTACAGAAACGCCTCAATTAAATGAGCGACAATTGGTATCAAGAGACAAAAATCAACTATCCCCTCAAAATGATTGCTTGAAGTTCAATTTGCCGGGACTCACCTCAACTTTGAGTTTCATTCTCAAATCCCGACGGATCGCCTGAGCCGCATTTGGACGAGGTTGTGATTGCCGACTCGCGCTCGGAGACGGTGAAAGGGAAAGTGCGCTCATCATGGAGAGAGCCCTCACATCGGCCGGTATAAAAGCCCGACCTTCAGGTGCTCCAAGTCTCTTCAGATAATGATGAGTAGCCTACCAAATGACTCACTGCTTTCTCCCCGAACCACTTTCCCCCCGGATACCCCCCTACCAACACCCACCCAAACATCCTCATCCTCATCCTCATCCTCATCCTCACATCACCCCCCATCAGCATCACTCCCTGTGCGTCATCACAGTGACTGTCTATACTCAACATGACTTTTCATTCACAAATGTTTCGTGATCGAGCGTCACTCACGTTACCTACTAAAGAAAAAGTTGTTGTCGTTTTAGTTACCATATCAGTGACGCTTTGGATTACAGCACAAATGATTATTGTGTAAATATTTTGAACATACGGGGTAGCGGTAAAACACTAGAAACATATCGGCTACTTGGGATAAACAAGTGATGGATTGATATAATAAAGAAGCTTTCACACATTTGCCGTCATGCTAGTGCACTAAATGATGACCATTTCGGGTATAATATGCACTTGTAATGTTTGATCATTTGAGCTTTTTCTGTAAAATTTCTTTGTGTTTTGAACCGAATTACACAGAACTATTACTTACAACATTTGCAGCATGTAGGCTACAGCTATCTGTTGCACAACTCAGTCAATACACATTTGTTAATCCCTGAGGTGTAACAGTCAATTAAAATTATGGCATTGCAATTTCAACAGGCATTTTATTATTCAACACTTGCACTTTTTATTTCTTATTTTTTCAACTAAGCTATAATGAAGAGACATAGAAACAGGCACACATGAATAAACACAGTACATTGATTTGTTTTAATTGGTTTTTTTTACTGATTTGATTCTACCCACTTTGTACAAATCCTCTGTTAAGACAGTTGGTTCATTCTTTGTTTTCCTGTTGGATCCAGATATGAAGGTATTACCTGAGGCTACCGCCGGCTCACAGCGAGAGATGTTAAGCCTCTCTGTGAAGTAAACGTTTGACTGTTTAAAGTACAGCTTCTCTGCTCAATCAATGACGGAGCTTTCATCGTACAATGCTCTGTGTCCTTATACCTGCTGTTATATCCAGTGGACAAATCCACTTTGGCATATCAAAAGCAAAGTTACAAGCACACTCCTAAACTCTCTAAAAGTACAATCACATTAGCAATGCGTAACATAAATAGATTATAATTTTGTGTGTACAATAAATGGATTATTTTTTATCAGTGTTTTTAAAATGGAAAAAAAACTATTTTCACAGCAATTTAGGTTACAATTATCATAACATTTAGGGAGATTTTGTCTCATTAGTGTGCATGCATGACTGTCTTGCACTGACACAGACAGAACACTTTCTAAGTATTTATTCAACTAACAGATCAATTATTGTGTAATTATGTTTCCATTTTAACAACCCCATGCTGAAAAAAGATTACAAACATAATGAAGCAGTGAAATGATACTTGTATGTTTCTTCTGTGCTTGTTGGTTGCCTCGATTTGCATCTTGTTATAGGGTCTATCGTGCTATCTAACCTGCTGGAAAAGCAATTACCTATGTCTCAACCGCCCGTGCAGTGAGGCGGGCTGTTGAGTTTGAAAGATACTGAAATCAATACCTCTGGCACGGAAGACACATTTCCTGTCACAGGGGCAACAAACCAGAACCGAGCATTTGTAACTAATGTTGACATTTACAGTGACATTCACCTTCATTGCATATCAAGAGATTTCCTCACGTATGGCTCTGCCTTTGACAAAATCTTAAGAGAAAAGAGGCACAGATTCCAATCATCAGAACAGGTAAATGCAAACAGCATTATGATTCAGGGTACTTATGTGCTTGTCTATCCGTGAAGTGGTATATAGCGTTAGAAGTAAAGAATGGTATAAAAGGCTAATTCAAAATGGAAACTGCTACTTCATGTGTAATCATATTCTCGAAATCACTGGACCACTGTGGTTCTTTGCATAAACCATAAAACTGAGATGACATTGTGAAATAAAGGTGATTGAATATGCCATCGTAGAAGAAGCCCCTCATGTGGAGCGTCCTGCAGCAGTGAGCTCTCCTCCCACACAGAAATACAGCGAACCTGAAATGCAGAGAAAGAGAAAAGAACACTTGACTGATCATTGGCAAAAGACAAGACAAGAGTTAAAAATACTCCTGTAACTGCAACCATCCTGTATGACAGTACATATATGAGCACAAATACAAGCAAAGCGCAAAACCACAAATCAGCTCAATTTCCTCCACATGTGACTCAAAGAGCCTAAAAATAAAGGACTTGTATTCGTCTTTGCAGACATGTATCAAATTTTGAAAATCTAGTTGCACAGCAGCACCTGTGCACAACCCACATGCCACATTTTTATTATTTCTGAAACCTGGCGGGTTTAAATGTAAAACAGCTGTGCCACTGGGAGATTGGATGATGTTTAAGTGGTATAATGGTTCAACCTTTTATTGGGCTTCAGTTGTGGTGCTTTCTGCAACAGCTGTAATGAAGACAGACCTAATTATCTCAGCAGACAGAACTCCACTCTGAACAGGACTCTAATTATGGCCTAAATGCTGCTCTCTTACTGTTCAGTGTCATACCCCAGGGTTATAAGGGGGCGACTGCTGCTGTCTTCGCACCACGACATACAGTACATACACACACACACACACACACACACACACACACACACACACACACCCCTAGGGCTCAGTGTGCTTAGCTGGTGCTCTTCTGTACAGGCTTTATGGTCTAGTGGCAGGGATTATCTAACGTGGCAACATTCACCGCCCCCCCCCCTCTGACCGGTGACACTGTCATCTGATTAATAAATCACAACTGCAGCTGTCACTTGAGCACCATTGTGAAGTACTTTGCACAAATATTTTGCAGGAAAATCTCATTGAAATCCTAAAACCCACATGCATGTCAGCAAAAACGACAGACAAGACAAACTAAATAATGCATGAAGTAATGGCTCAAAAAAGGGCAGCAGGGTTACTTACAGGTACATTACTCCAGTCCCATTCATTTTGAATTTTTGAATGTAAAATAATTGCAGTTTTATCTGCTCTTGTGGAGTGTTTGAAGGCTGAGAAGCAGATTATTTAAATGCCAATTTCTCTATTCAGACTAAGTAACGGTAAGCAGCTTGTGCAGTGACCTTCATTTGTAGATGTTGAAAGTTCAAGTGCAAACATGGGACAAATAAGGGGGAAGTCGTTTGGTGTACAAAGAAATTTGCAGCAGTGACTCAGAGTTGGTATCCGCTAATGAGTGCAGCCAAGATGTGATCACACAGCACAATGAGATATAAGTAAGGAAACTGGCATCATTACTCGAGGAAAGGGCAAAGTTCTCTGCTGTTATTGTCAGCAACAGGTACAGAGAAGATGGCAGCAGGTGCATGTCTGCACAATCAGTAATTTCAGGAGGCCCAGCTTTGTGGGATCCAAATGAACTCCATGTGTGCACAGTAATATGGTAATATTGAAGCTTTAAAGAAAAAGAAAAAGCATGTTTGTTTAATCCCCTTTAAACAAAAGGGGGATTATGGATTATAGAGATGATGTTTAGCAGAGGCTTGGATACTTTTGTAAATATATGCATCAGGAGAAGAGAAAATAGCGTGCAGCATAATGCACTGCGTTACTACAGGCAGTGAAAAACAACAGGAATATAAAATACAGATGGATGGTTTCGGAGTTTATATCCTTCCAGAGAGCAACAGTATGGCCTTAAGCTACAACAATGCGACTTGGAGTCAAGGCCATTGAGCGTACTAATGATCACTTGAGACTTGAGCCTATTATTGATACTGCCAGCACATCTAATAAGAATATGCATTTACTTTATTATTACTGCTCTTCAACAGAGCGGTGTATTTCTCGATTATATACTACCTGTGGGCATTTACCCTTGACTGTACCATGCACCGCTCTGCCAGAAAGCTAAAATCACAATGATCCACTGTTATGCAAATTCAGGGGAAAAAGCTATCTGAATTCTGCCGGCAGGAGAGTCTATATTTGTCTATGTGACAGTCCAATTTTACACAGACCATCAGGAGGATGTAAAAAATACAATAAGAAAAAAAAGGAAACCTACCTGAACCACAGCAGCTTTAATTATTGATTTCAGGGGAATTGTCAGCCAGTCATTTTTTTGTGTTCTGTCTATTTCCAGGTCAGTCATTCACAGGCCACATTATTGCTGCGCATGACTAGAGAGAAGACAACATCTGGCAGAGAAAACACAATATACACTAACATTGACAGGTGCTCCTCCCAAAGTCAATATCTCAAGGATCAAATGTTTCTATTCAAAATATAAAACAGCTAGATTCCGCAATTATTAGTATGGAATCGTGACTTACTTTGATAGATAATGGAAATCAAAGAGACTTTCTGTGCCATTTTTGGTAGAAAAGTAGCAAATTTAGTATGTTGTTTGGGAATAATAAGATGTGATTTTGATCTGATGGACTCTACGCTCTTATTTTTTGTTTTGTGAAAATATCCATGCAAGTAGGCTCTGTGAAATAGATAGAATTGTGACTTATTTTGCTAGATAATGGAAATCAAAGAGACTTTCTGTGCCATTTCTGTAGAAAAGTAGCAGATTTAGTACGTTGTTTGGAAATAATCATGTGATTTTGATCTGATGGACACCTATGCTCTTATTTTTTGTTTTGTGAAAATGTCCATGCAAGTAGGCTCTGTGAAATAGATATTGTGTTTGATTATACAAGATTGCATTCCTGGCTCAAAACAGCCTTCAGAGGAGGACTGTATGTGTATCAAAAATCTGCAGCTTAGACAGAAACCTTATCTTCAGAGAAGTGTGATTGTAAAGCTGGCCTGGGAGAACATCTCAGGAAATGAACATCCACACAAAGAGATGAATCTCGACACCGGAGTATCCGTCTGCTGCTCTCAATGACCTGGTCATTTTACACGAGAACACTCGACAGGGCCCTCTTGTGATGGGTGCGGAGCGGTGCAGAAATCACCGGAATAACAGGAAGACGACTCATCAGTGTGCGCATGCGCATTGCATACCGAGGCGAAAACACGGAAGGACCCATGATAGAAGATAATAGACAACACGCCTCGCTGTAATCGCTTCTCAGAACGAGTTTTAGGAAAAAATAACGGTCGTGCGTCGGGTCTGGTGTAAGATTTAACTGAGTGATGATGGTGTCGACAATGCATCTGTAGCCGAAGCTGCTTCTGCGTCATTGAAACACAACAACAAACTGTTTGCAAGAAGAAGCCGAGAAGATGCCAGCTCGTAACGTTGTGTCCAACGACAGCCCGAACAGTAAAGTTAGGTACTCCAGGCTGGCCACTGATGATGACGGCTACACCGATTTACAGGTAAGACGTATTGTATGATATTAGTTCACTCTACCCATAGCATGCATTCTATGAAATTGTATTAAAATGATCTATGGTGGGTGCTTTTCAGGCATTATAACAGTATATCTCTCTCTATGCACACACAAACACACACACACACACACACACACACACACACACATAGTGATTATAGCAGCAATTCTGGACATAAAGAGGTAGGCTACTCCAGTGATGTAGTATTGCATTTTAATAACATTGGAGGAAAAAAAAGAAAGGAAAAATGTCTTGACTTTAAGCCATTAGTGTGGGTCAAACTCCAAAACACTCGATCCTACATTTCCCACAATGCAACCTGATATATGTATTGAGTTTACTGGATGTTACATAGCTCCCTCACACAAGGAGAAAGTTGTTTTAAGTTTGCAATATAACATAAAGAGAAAGCTGCATTGTATAACTGCATGTATTTCTAGAATAATTACATAAAATAGTAGACACAAAATAATTAGATTTTATTCCATCACCAGAGCAACATATGGTCATGGGTGTTTTATTTTGCTGTCCTGCCATTCTATCGGTTTGTTTGTTTTTCCCGTGCCGTCCATGGGGTTGATTCCATGTGAAAGCAACATTGTCTCATACTTGGAAAAGCTTCTTCAGAGTCACAAATGTCATTAAACAAATGTTTTCACAGGCTGAATAACACTCTGCACGTCTAATAAATTGTGTAACAATGGTGGGGTTTTCACAGTATTCCACAGAATGCAATGAAGAACCAACAAAACACATCTTCAAACCCATAATGTAACATGACAGTTTCATGGCTCACGTCAGTCAGCTTCCTCTAAAATGAAATATCTATCAACCAGTCTCAGACTTTCACTTTTCTAAGAAGTTCAAGTACATTATGAGCCAGACTAATTTTGACTGGCCAGTTCAGTACATGAGTGGGAAAACAGGCTGTGCCACAAAAAGCATGCTGTGAAAAGTGTTTTTAATTAAATATTTCACCTCCTCCGCAGTTCAAAAGAAGCCCACCCAAAGTCCCATACAAAGCCATAGCACTAGCCACAGTCCTCTTCTTGATCGGCTCGCTGTTAATCGTCATTGGCTCCCTTCTCCTGGCTGGATACTTTGGAGCCACTGTGAGTACTTGTGTAACGCACAGAGTTTTTACACTATGAACAATAATTTGACTTTATTGAAATGAATATTTTCTCTCTTCCAGCACTCAGACAGAACTTTTCCTGTCCTTATCATTGGGATCCTTGTCTTCCTCCCTGGAATTTACCACCTACGAATAGCTTACTATGCATCGAAGGGCTACCGGGGCTACTCCTATGATGACATCCCGGACTTTGATGACTGACAGACACCACAGCTTCAGCCACTGTCTTCATGCACTCATGTATACTCCTAATACTCTGCTTTTGCTAATTTAAAGGCGCTGACATTTTGAAAGAAAACAAGCTTAAATAGATTCTGTAAATGACCTTCATCTAAATCTGGATGATTTTGATGTTGCCGTCATAGGGTTGCATGCCGAGGTAGTTGGTGCCAGCCTGCTGTTCTGAAGCCAAATCAGTATCAGACATTGTTTGATTTGTATATTTATTTTGTTGGCTTGATAAATCAATAAAACTATAATTTGATGGGTATCTTTTATTTGTTTATTATAACGTTTCACTGAGTTGGTCTACAAGAGGACACATTTTAGCTCGTAGTACAGTATGTAGAGGAATTCAACCATGTGGCTACTTTTGCACCGAAACAGAGCTGATACTTCTAGACACAAGTTGAGCCAATTCTCAAAATGTATTCTTTTCATGCCAAATAAAATTGTAGTCAGTGGGTTTTGTAATTTGAGGTGATCCACCCACTTGTTTGAGGATAGAGAAAACTCATAAAACTGGCTTGTAATTAATTATTTTAAAGGAAAATTAAGATAACTGTGTTTAAAGATTTCAGGCTAAGTGATTAACCTGCATCATGCATCTTTGTATATCTCATCTGGCAGAAAACAGATATTTAATAAAAGGCTATATTGGTCTGTCCACACTACGATCAATATACCAAATAACAGTTTCCCTTACCCTCCGCTTTATTCTTCTTTACTGCTTAAAGTACTTATTCCTCGGAGGATTTCATGTGATTAATGTCAATCCTTTGATCTCCATATGGTGCACCTGGCTAGTGAGACTAAACGTTGTCAAACAGGAAGTACACAAGCTATAAAACCTGATATTTTTGTTAAATTTAAAAAAAAAAAAACTTTCCTCCTCTAATCTGCTACACTATCTTATCAACTTCAACATAATTTGAAGCTGCTTTGCAGGATAATGTAATATAATGGGTGCTGTCTAAAGATTTTAATTAAATAAATTATTACTATACAGGCCGATAGGCGGCAGTATAATGCCATGAAATAAGCGATAATAAACACTACAAGTTGTAGTGTGACATTGTAGGAATACTACAGTATTTTAACAGTGTCCACGTGTGAGTCATCATGTTCAGCACTTGATTGGCTGTTTTAAACTGGAGGTAAACAAGGAAGAGCAACTTGTCCTCGTGGGTGTCCCAAAATCCCCAATACATCACATCTTAGAGAAACATCCATCTCAAATAACGAGGACATCAGAAGACGTGGTTTTGTGGTAAGGTAATGAAAGTCTTGACAGTAAAGTTACTAAATTAAGTTAAGCTTTAAGGGTGACCAAATTAGATTGAACAAAAACACAATAGTGTAGTTAGTTTTCTTCTGTTGTCTCTAACAGAGTAACACGTGGCTTCCTACAACAGATAACGGTCACGTTAATTGTAAATGCGTCTTCTAACTTAGCATAGCCGCTAGCCAAACTCAAAAGTAACCACAATAACATGTCAGTTGACAAAATAACATAGACAATAACGTTACTTGATGTATGTCTTTAGTAAAGACGGCTAATGAAAGGTTTCTGAAGAGAATGTAGCAGCTCTTGCTAGCACGGTCCGTTAGCTAACTGAACCGTTACTAGCTGTAGCTTAGCTAACATTTGAATGGCAGTGAGTTGTCGGTATTAAGGGCGGGTTAGGTAACGTTAGGTACACAGTTAATGCTAAATTAGCTCTTAGTCTAATTTACACATTGCATTGACATTCAGGTTTTTATAGAATTGTTATTTGTCAAATATTTCCAGAGAAAATGGACTTCAGAAGACGTCTTATTTCCACACGTGTTGTTCCAGTAGGGTATTAATGGTGGTCATCGTTACATTTATAACCTTTAATATTACAGATAAATACGGTTGTAGCTAGCTCAATATATTTATTATCTTCAAGTTCGTCCTTAAGTTAAAGGAAGATTGTAAGGTGTTGGTGGTGTGTGAGTGGTGGGTGTGGCAAACCCAACTCGCACACCTAGTATTTGAAAATACATTTTGAATGTATCACACCTGTTCTCCATTTCACACGTTACTTGAGATATGTGGATGTATCTCATGACATGTGTTTTTGTGACTATTATGCTGAATTTTGAGTCAAACGTGTGTGTTTGCCTTTTGTTACGCTCCCCGAGTCTTTCCCACGAAAACGCGCTTTTGTCTCAGGCGGTTAAGTACGAGCAGCGTCAAGTCACACAGAGACAGGCGGCACACTAGCGGAAGTTGGTTATTTCAACTTCAACATAAAAGCGTTTGGCTCTCGATAATAATGTGAAACGTAGGTATGGGAGACAAACAGCATTTTTTAAAATTAATTTTAAGACTAGGGCTGCAATTACTTTCAATAGGTTTCATGGCAGTCGTAAATTGTGTTGTAGGAAAAGCACAAGTGTAAATGATAACGTTAATGATTACTCTGTTCTGATCAGCAAAAAGCAGCTAAACGAAATTCAGTCACATTAGAAAAGCAAGAGACAGTTAGTGTTGATATTAATCTAAGTAAGTGGCTGAAACTATTGATGGATTACTGAAATTGCTTGATAAATTGCTTAATTGACTGATAGTTTTAGTAATGGATGTTTTACCCACCTCGTTCGTCGGTAGGCATTTTATTTTGAAATCTGAAACAGGAAGTGCAGTGATTGTTTTCTGTCCCGTGCAGTAGGAGGGGAAATTATAATAATGGGAGGAGAGACACGGCGAGAGTATCAACAGCAGGACTCTAAACTAAACGTGCAGTGTGCGCTCTCATTCTGATAAAACTTGGCTATAGATTTTGCACTGCGTCGACCGAGGGCCAGTTCTACATATTTGTAAAGTTAATTATAATCTCCGATTTATGATTGAAGGTACTTCCAGCAAGTTTGGACAAAGACGAATGCGGACATAAAAGCCGAGGCGTGGAAAGTTTAAAAGGACTTTAAATGTGCTGATGTTGGACTGATGAAGGAGGCCTTGGGTTAATGGATTTTATTCAAAGTTTTCTTTTAGGAAGTCTGCTAAGAATGAACGGCGTGGATTGATTCTATTTTATTTTGATCCTTGCAAGGTTCGAGGAAAAAAAACAATGTGACCACCTGCGTTTCATCCAACACTTTCTTCTTTTTCTTTTAAAAGTGGTGTTTTTTTTAAATCTGACTTCTCTCTGAAGAGGAAGGAAAGGACGGCTGTATTTGTTCTGCAGCACGAGTCTAAAAGAAGAGCATCAATGGATTGAAAGATTCCACTTTCATCTTTAAGTGAAAAAGTGCCTGAAGCAAGGTAAGGATCCAGCTGAAGCATCCTCTATAGACCTGTATTTATGACATTAGTTTACATCCACAGCAACTTACACTACCAGTAGATACAGTGCGAGATCGCGCCTTTGTTTATGTTTAGTGTATCACATGCGCCACTTGTAATCTCCGAGTGAGTGTGTTTTTTTTTTTTGTAATACCAGTGAATAGGTTTAGCATGCTGTAATGACCCAAAAGGGAACTCTGTTCTCACTCCCGGGATTAAAATACTGAGAACAATAGTCAGTTGGAATAGTGTTGTTGTTGTTTATTTTTTATTCAGTGCTCCCTCCTCTCAGCTGGATTAGAGTCACCAGTCAGACAAAAGATGCACCTGTTCTGTTTTACAGGAGGTCTGTTTGGTGACATGAAGGACTGAGCATCACTATTCACTGTAGAGGTGCAGACATAAAGAGCTTGAGGCTCGGTGTCTGTTTTATCCGGACCAGACCGTCTATTATGCTGCTGCTCCGCATGATGCTGAAAAGCCCGCATGTGCTGGGCACAAACATATTACCGTGTTGTGCTTTTTCTTACACGATAGAGGCTCCCCGCTCGAGTGTGTGCCTTCCTTTGTTTTTGTTGTGCTTGTTATTACTGGTTGGTGAGACATGAGGTGCACAGAGGCACACATCACTCTGGATGTGTGTAATCCCTTGTGTTGGGCCATATTATAAGCTTTCTAAATTGCGCGTCTGTTTTTTGTGATTGCTTTTAAATTATTGATGGGGTGACAGCTACTGCATGTTCCCAAAGCCATTTTGCATTTTTCCTCCGGAATCCTTGAAATGTTGAGCGTATCATCCCGACCCTCCAGTTTAACAAAGCCTGAGCACGTCAGATACCACCTCCGGTATCATTTTACACAGTGATACCCCGCATAATTCAACAATCAGCGGGCCGTGATATTTCACCAGTGCGTTGCACTTTTCAAAACAGATTGTCATGCTGGAGGAAATTGATTGTATTGAAAAACAAGTCATTCATGAGTTGAAGGTGGTTACTCCAAATTGCTGTGTTAATGATGGTCAAGATTAAAAAAATGTAAAAAAGCACATACAGTATAAGCTAAGGGAGATTGGAGAAAGTGCCTCACAAAGGTAAGGACGATAAACGGTCACGTTTTACGTCTCATTCGTGTTGACCTGTATGAAAGAGCCTTTTACATCTGGTCCCTTACAGAAGAAATGAGAACCATGTCAGTGAGATTAGATATTTAAGGTTTGTTCCAGTGCCACGCCTCAACGGTAGACTTCAGCTCCTGAGGTTGTTACCTTTGGCTTTTGACCCTCAGCTCCCCTCACGTTGGTGTCTTGCAAGTAGCTTTATGGGACCGACCTTTTCCCCAGAGTTGGGGGCAGGGAAGGACAAAGACTTACAAGAAGGATATGAGCTGCTTTGCTTTCACTAGATGTCGTTCCCCGCTCCCCTGAGACCACTGAGCTGTATGAAATCAGTCCAGTTGTGTGTGTGTGTGTGTGTGTGTGAGCGAGCTTCCAGGTGATTTATTTCTGTCATTTTCAGTTTTGCACAAACACTGAAAACTTGCATTGCATAGTAAAGGTAGCACTATTCAAGGTCCTCTGTGTGAGTGAATGCAAAGCATTGGATCCATGGTCATTAGTCGATAATGTTACAGTATATGTGTTAGGTCACCAGCAATCACCATGTTAATCCATATACAGTAGGCTTTCCCAATCACGAGACTAGGGCTTCTCTCACGTGCCCACGGTGTGCCCAGCTCATTTCCTTTAGTGAGAATAAATGTCAATACTGATACTGTAATTGGGTTGCAGTGCCGGGAACAACATCCATGGATTGATTGCTGCGTTGTATTGGCTGGAGCAACCAGTCAAGGCAACCCAGTCCCGTGTAAATAACTGGCACATGTACTAGTTGTGCAGATCTGTTATCTTTGCTGTGGCCGGTTGCACGACATTTCTGCCTCTGCATTGTTCTGTTCACCTGCTTGAGTATCATTTGTAGTTCCTGCTAAGGTGCTCCAGGGTTTTTTTGCGCTGAGGCTACGGTCTCTGTCAGGATTAGCAAGGATTACTAAGAGAGTAATGCTACTTCTTGTCAGGCCTGTATCTGTCGCTATCATCACTGATAGTTCTGCTTAGGTACTGAGGGAAAACACGCACATGCTCTCACACACATGAGGTCAAAAGAAACCTTCAATGTATGGTCACATATCAAGTGAACAACTTGGCAGAAAAGACTGCCGCACTGCTTGAGTTAACTCCTGCATTATGTAACCCATTACAAAGTAATCCTTAACTTTTGCAGTGTTCACTTTATGCCTCCTGATATGTTCATTCTAGTGAGATTCAGAGATGAGTTGCAGCTGACAGCAAAGAATCAGCTTCTTACTTGTATTCTTCCTTGTTGCTAATATTTAAGTGAAATCTGAATTCTCTCGATGGTATTACCACATTGTGCACATGATGGTTTGAGTCTGCAATTATTAAGTTATTGCCTGGCAGTGGAGATGGGAGAAGTAGCTTCTACAATGAGGTGTCTAGTGGTCTGTTCTAGAGGATCACCGGTACACTAGTTATATTTGACTGAAGTCAAAGTCCACATTGCTTCTTGTTGACTGTGGTCTCCATAAAATGTGGACAACGCGACCTGCTGGCTCTACAGCAGATAATCCGCCCGTGTGGAGGTGATAGTGACTTGATTTAGCAGTGATTGATGTCTTCACAGCCAGATGACAAGAGTGTCCTTGATTTGTCTCACCAATTTGAGCTCTAATTCAATTACACTATTAACACTCGGAGCAGCCGGGCAGGATTAGTGTGGGTGTTACAAATGTACAGTCCAGCAGGCTAAGTCATGACTAGATCTAAAGCAATTTGTGTCATTGAAATCCAGAGAAACATCGGACCGGTAGACTGTGTCCACACGCGTTACAAATCTAAATTGAGTGGTAATGAGCTTGTTTGTATTGTCACTTTTTTACCTTTTACATCCCAAACATAGCATTGTTTCGGTGTCAAAGATCACTCTGGTCCTATCTGATTCACTGCTGATGTCCGTCCCATTTGCGCCACTTAATTTCAAGTAAAGAAGTCCTGTGACGCATTTAGTCTGCTCTCTCTGCATGGTTGTGTGAGATTTGCAAGAAGTGGTTAATTCTGTCAGCTTTCCCTCAGATGCCTTCGTGAGGAGATTAGCGTGCAGGAGTAAACCCCTCTCACCTTGGAATAGTTGAATAGATGTCTACATTATTCTATCTCTGTAAGTTACTTGGGAGATAAAGATCATAATTGCTTTCAGGTCTTTTTGACTCCATGTCCTGGTTTAAATATTTGGACTCTTTTCTGAGGCCGTCTCTGTGTACATGTCAATTAAATGGCCCCTTGCTCTGCTCTGCTGCCTGAGGAAATAACCCGTTGTCTTCTGTCTTCTCCTGCACCTGCAGACAAAAAGCTTCCCTCCAGGATTCCTCTGTAATACACCGGCTCAGTGTGTCTGTCTGTCTGCCTGCCACAAGCAAGTCATGTCTTCTGGTGTGGAGGCACGGCAGAGCAGACGGGAGCAAAGACAAGATTAGTAATTGTTGAGGTTGTCAAAAGTCACTTGTGGTCTGGATATGAGCAAGAGGTTTAGATATATGATGGGGTTTGCTCATCACTTTTGCCGTCACGTCGTTAAAATGACTGTGAAGATGACAGTCTAGATGATGCATTGATGTGCAATTGTTTCCATCTTCTTCTTTTTTTTTGGACTGCTGGAGGTGACCCACAAATTATTACACAGAAAATATTTATTTCCCTATTTTCTTTTTTTAATCCATTATAAGAGTCCCGTTTATTCCGGTACCCCCACTGAGCGACTACGGTTTGCACAGTAGGAGTAATCCTTTCCTCATTAACAAACATTCTGTCGTGCAAATGTCCCCCCCCCCCCCCCTCTTCATCAGCTTTTACTGTAAAGCTAACCCCACTCTAATGTGTTTTTGTCCCACTCTTCTTCTTTGCCTTTGTGGCACTTTTTTGTCTTCTGCTTCTTTTAGAAAGATGCTAAAACAAAAGTTATCACATAGCTTCACGGGCCAGCTCCAGCAGCAACAGTCTCAACCCCGTGCAAGGAGATAAATGCATCTTTTTGCTGCTCTATTCTGGGATGTTTGTTTACTCGAGTGCAAGCATATCTGCTAAGAGACAAAACATGTCCGTCATGTGACTCAGTGATGCTGCGTTTCTACAGTGTTTACAGCAGCAGCTAATACCCACCACCCACTTGCTTTCTAAGAAAGCCCACTTCTTATATTACCTAAGTGAACTCAAAGTAATAAGCTGGTATTAGAGGTGAGTGGATTGACTTCAGGGGAGGGGGCAAGGTCTTCCATTATGTTTGAAGGGCAGCAACTTAAACTTGTGCCTCCAATCCAATTTAAGGTGGAGGGCCTCACGAGTTGCTGCAGCTGTTCTCCTCTTCCAGACTGAAGCACTGTAGACCCACAATTTGTTCAAGTGGAGTCTTGTTCGCGGCTCATTGGGAGATATAAATCCGTGGCTTGTGCTGGTTTGTTTGCGTGTGCTGTTTGTGAGTTTGATAGTCGGGTGAACTGCACTTGCTGCCGTCTGCTGCTTGACACGTGCTGTACTCGATGGAGCATCGAATTCAGTTTAATTTAGTGGCGTCGTCAAATGTCTATTTATGTCACTTAAGTCCCCCCTTTTTTTTAAGCAGTGGTATTAAGGTAACATCTGGAGTTTGAGGAGAGACGCACCTTTCAATATTGCTCGTGTCACCTGTCAATTGCTGTTGGCCTATTTAGCGTGAGACGAGACTGTCTGGAGGAGCTGAACCAATCACAAGCATCAGGTTAATCTGTATATACACTTCAAGTAGAGCCTTGTCTTCTCTGTGGAAACACACACACACACACACTTTGGCCTCTGCAGACACTTGTTGAAATAACCCTATTTGCCTTAATCCAACCACAGCTCAGACATGCAATTTTCCAAAGGATTAAGTGTTTTCAAAGAATACAGTTATTTTTTAACCAAGAAGCATCTGAAATATAGTGTAGTAGTTGGATTATGAGTTGATGTTAACTGGAGGGATTACAGTTTGTTTCTGCAGGGGGGTGTGAGGGATGTCCTTGCACAGCAGTGACGCTGTCAATGGTGTAGTAGCTTTCTGTTGAAGAGTGAACGAGATGTGTGGTCTTCTCCTTCAGGTCGGGAGATGTGTGAAGGAGTGTGACGGACGGCCATGGGACTGGAGAGACGGTGGCTTCAGGCTGTCACCACTGCTGTAGCCATCTGTCTGCTAAGTAAGTATGCTAATGCGTGTATGGATCCATCACATACACATACAATTAATTTCCGTAATTCATTTCACCAAATGGTTAAAGACATTTCTCACTTGGCGTCTTCGTCAAAAAGCTGTTAATACTACTCGAAACCGTAAAACGATCATTCACAAAATGGATCCATACTATCAAAATGTTAAATTTCCCCAAATTAAGTAAGTCATCACAAGCAGCTGGTCATCTTTTGAGTTTAGCATTTTCAGGTATTATGTCAGGTAATTGTTGTAGATCAACTTGTTAAAACACACAAAACAGTAAAAGAAACAGACACAATTATGTAACACTGACATGTAAACATAATTTAGACATGTACGGCACAGATTAGCTGTGATGAAAATATGCTTTGTTGGATCACATTTGCATGATCATGATGATGGTACTGCTTTACTGTTTGTCTTCAGTTTTTGAAGGCGTATTTTGAAGCACATTCACCAAATTAGTGAAGAGTTATTACAGCACTTATAAACGCGTTGTCACTTTTAACGTTGCATGTTAAGTTTGGATTAGGTAAACTGTCTTAGTGGTGGATGATAATGGCTAAAAAAAGGATCTAGATTGAATTCAGTCAAATAATTGGTTGAATTTGTGCACATTTAACTTTAAAAGCGTTAACAACGTTCACAAAGCAGGCTGTTTCACTAACTTTAAAGTTATATTGAATAGGGATTCATACACATTAGCCTTTTTGTAAGACTTTCTGACAGGGCAATCTTATCTTGTAAGACAACCAGTTGGTTTTCCTCCATTTGTCTCTGACATTTGTTTGCTTAGCTTCACCAAAAGTTAATTGTTTACCGACGTCCACAAGACCCGCAGTATGTCCCTTGTTCTGGCAAAGCAATCGGCATATGTTGCCGTTTAGCCGCCTACGTACAGTTTGAGTGACACCATGATGAATCTGGCACCGCTCCCATTGCCTTAGATTGGAGAAAGTAAAGAGGAGGGGTTACAACACAGAGACATGAGTGGAGTAGAGAGAATGGGGCCAAAATCCAACATAAATAATATCTCTGGGTGTGGATTTAGATCAATCTGGGATTTGTGCAACCCCCAACCCAAGGCACGCTTCTCTGTGTGCGTGCATGTGTTTGTTAGGGGGGGGGGGGGGGGGGGGGGGGGGGGGGGGGATTGATTGTGCTGGTCTGCACACCATGTGTGTACCCCAGGGGGTGGTGGGAGGTTGGCTGGAGAGAGCACAGAGGGTCCTACTGCCCTGCATCAGAGTATCACCACCAACCCCCTTCTGGGATTACAGTAATCACCAGGCCAGATGAGTAGCAGAGCAAACACTGGCACCCAGTTGCGCACACACACCCACGTGAGCACATGGCAGCGAGGGAGAGGGATGAGAGGAGAGACCGCTCCAGGTGTCACTAATGGGATTGCTGTGTGTTTGCAGGCTTTGCGGCTGTATGATCGTGTCACCAAATGGCACTCGGTTGTTTTACGTGTCCTCTGATGACCCGGGGGGTTGTCAGGGAATACCCGGGAATGTCGTGGATTCATGTCAGTCTGTCTTCTGTGTCCTGGCCTCTTCTTGCCCGTGTTTTCTCTCTATCTATCTCTATCTCTATCTCTATCTCTATCTCTATCTCTATCTCTATCTCTATCTCTCTCTCTCTCTCTCTCTCTCTCTCTCTCCACAAATATTGCTGCAAATATTCTCTGAGCTGTTTTCAGCGTAGCTTTTCACGGGAATGAATGACCAAAAAATTCCAGAGAGGTTAATCTGGCCACTCTGGCAGCCATAAAACTCTTTAAAAGGGCCGTGTTTCTCAGGCCTGTGTAGCACATGATTTATGTGTTTATTTCATTTTTTTTCAGGTTATTTCTGTGCTATCTGAATGTCATGATTTATCCTGGTGATGTGCTGTTGCTTTTACAGGCGTGTCTCCATGTGTGGCATCATTGGTTCATGCCAGAGTCGGGGGCTCTGCAGAACTAAGCTGCAATCTCACTCCTACCTCCAAAGAAGCCACCACCCCAAACCTCTTCCCTCTGCATGTCGTGGAATGGGTGCGCCTCGGTTACAACGTTCCCATCCTCATCAAATTTGGAGTGTATGCTCCTCGAGTTCATCCAAACTACAAGGGTAAGAGTTATTCACATGTGTTCAATTACAGACTCCTTTCAGAAGACACACGATAAACACACGTTGTGTCTTTCACAGCATGTGTTAACAAGTGATTCCCTTGAAGTAGAAAGATCATTCTTTGATACATCTTTTTTTTTCCCAGAGCTTCAGCAATTTGACTGCACAAAGACCCTAATGTGGCTTGTTGAAAACATGTCTCAGTAGTAGGAAGACGAGCTGACTCGGGAGCTCTCATCGTAGCAGTTTGCTTCTGAAAGGATTCATGGGACTGACCACCAATGGACAGATTTCTGTAATTATAGTTCTGTGGATTTTTAGTGAGGGGAAGCGTTCGCATGACGACATTTCTCTTGTACCTCGAGTAACAATCATGTGTCCTGTGTGGGCAAAGGTAGACATGAGGAGGTTTAGGTTGCACTGGTATTTATGAAGACTTGGGGAGGGGAAGTTTGAATGAAACAACTTCAAATAGGTAATCCACCCAAAGCACAATCCCTGTAATTACCGCTGCTGCTCAGTCTGTGTGTGTCCAGACTGCAGTTGCAGTGCGCGGAGAAGGGGAAGGGCAAGAATGGATGTGTTTTAATGCAGGCAGTTAAAGGGGGGGGGGGGGCAGCTGAGCAAGAAGAAGGGGGGGGTACCAGTAATGCTGTGCATGGGGGGATTAGGAGTGTAGGTGGGGGCTTGGTGGTCTGATGACAGTGCTTTATTAGTATGCTGAGGGGTGACCCAGTAAGGGGAGATTGTTGTGCTAGAAGGACGATGGATGAAGCATTGGGAATAATGGGAGTTTTCTTGCTGGAGCCCTATAATCCTGTCATTGTTCTACCAGAGGACAAAAGACAAAGAGGGGTATCACAACCTCCCCTTGCTTTACCAAAGCCAGCAGGACTACTAGGACACCCAAAATCCCATACTGTCCCAACTAGGTCACTGAAATGTACAGGAAAGCCCTCAGCATTTGCTGTGTGAGACCCTATTTTTTTCTTTTACAGAGAATGAGCCTCTGATTCAGAAACACGTTTGCAGCATGACCGCATCTAATGTCCACAGGGTCTGAACCACAAACAGGCTACCTCTGCCGAGCAATCGAGCTGCATATTGTAGGCCGTTAACCACGTCATTGTTTAGGGGCAGTCATCTGATGCACAAGCGGCCATAATGAAGTAAACAACATTGTAGAGATGCCGCTCAGAGTAGAAGACTGTTTTGGGTGTCCTAATATTTTTCTAATATTTATATCCCTTGTGTGTACTCGTCTGGTGTGGGCTTTAACCCTGTCTGCCTCACATCCTCGTATCTCCCCTCCCACTGGAGGCAGATGGCAGCATGTGAAGCGTGTCAGCGCTGTGGGTCTAATGTATTCTGCCCTCAAATTAAAATGTGGGGGGGGGGGGGATTTCCGATTTAACCTCAAGACAGTCAAGTAGGCAACCTTTTCCTGATCTTTGTCTTGGCTTGTCTGAGATCTGCAACCAGACAGTATGAGCGATGAGAGCCGGGGGATGGATTTACAACATAATGGCTGCTTCCAATAAAGCTAAGTAAGGTGTCAGACTTCAATATGCATTACTAAATCTGAGCGCTTTCTTGTCCTTCCTTTGGTGGACTCATTGCATTGCAAATGCCGCACAATAAAGTAGACTAAAATAAAACATTAAAAGCATTCCCAAAGGCTGTCTGTCCTTGGTCTGCTGCTTTATCTCAAGCTCACCGGCCATATTTAGAAACCGAGACGAAAGAATCAAAGCAAGCGATATCTCGGATGAATATTTTCAATCCATTAAAGCAACGTTTTTTGATACGATATCAGGTGTATTTGAGATTGCACTCTGTGTTTGAGAAGTGTCACGGCTCCCGAGCTGTGGTCTTCTGTCGACCTTTTTAGACTCGGTCTTTGAGAGCTTCTCTTATTAGGACCCCTCATCCCTCTTCCTCTCTGGGTCACACCCAGCTCGCCCTGCAGGGCTGAACATTAGTCAACTCGCCACAAAGAGGAAACAGCCAGATAAACTCTGACTGACACACTATTTTAGTCTGTTTGAATTGAATTTGTTGAGACAATATCTTGAAGTCTTGCGGTGTCAGGATGGTTTACTGTTGCAGCGTGAGATCAAATGTCTCCTGTGCACTGAAGTAAATCAGTAGAGACTGTGAGCAGGGAAGTCCGACCTGAGGTTAGAACGACAAAGGGTGAACCCCCAGATCTCAGCAGGCGTTCATCACGCTCTCAGTGTGACCTCAGATCACTGGAGAGGTAAGGCCTGCACGTCACATACACACACACTTAAATCTACAGATGCACACACACCTTGAACTCTAAAACCTTTGAACAACTAGGCTTTTGCAATCATGCAACTATTTGCAAAAACAGCCCAGCTGAAAGGTGAACCTGATCACCTTCATCCGGCACCAACCAGTTTTTCCGCCATAACTAGATCAGGATGATGTGTGGCAAACAACGACACAATGAAAGAAGAATAGATGGCTGCAGTGGGGGAATTTCTTCCTGGTTTAAAGCAGCAGGCCATCACAAAAGCTCAGTTACCTCAGGCCTTAGGTGTGAGCATGAGATCAGTGCTGTGCTGTGCTGGCCAATCAATGTTGTTCAATTGTCTCTTCTGTCGATCAATATATCTGCTACTTTAAGATTACTTATAAATAAGCGAACGTGGGTTTAATCCACATTGCCCTCGATATTTTAAACAGTATGACAAGCTTGATGTTCACCAATGAGGAGTGTTCTTTTCGGAGACAACTGAGTAACTAAAGCAAATTTTAGGCAACTATTAATCATTAACATCAACGTTATCTCTTACTGACCAGAAAACAAAGCTCAAGTTCTGTACCGGAAAACAGTTCAAACGCCTCTCGTAATCTCAGTGGACCAAATTCCATATTTTAGAATACTTTGCTCCCCGACCTTGTCCGAGAAGCGCGAATGTCTGCAGCAAGTCGAGCGGCCGCTGTAGCAAAATTTCGGCACGTGAGCTGGATGTGTGCCCTCGCTGGTGAAGGGGTGGACGAAGCTGGACGGAGCGAGAGGGACAGAGTTAACTGTAATCTATCTCACGACAAAGAGCTATTCATAAGAGGGTTAAACTGATTAGGGAGACGGGAGGATTGAGGAGAGAAATTTGGGGGAGTGGGAGGGGTGAGCTGTCAGAGGCAGGGGGCCGGTCCCAGACTTATGATTGTATTCAAATCAAAACACATCCCACAATGCACCTCCGCTCGGCTCTCTTATGCACATCCGGATGGTCAAAGAAAAGCAGCGATGATGCTTCTCCAAACAGAGTAATCTGTCTTCCTCCATCGTCAGCCGCACGATTGTATCGCATTCACTATACGCCATGTATTACAATGTCAGTAAGTACCAGTGGGAACCCCCAATACAAAAATCACACTGATTTTATTGCTTTGGAACAATACAACTCGTGTCCTGGAGCTTAAGTTGTCACAAAATTAAGAAAATACAATATAGAAGCAACGAAAGTGCTGTAAATCTTCAATGTAACCAAAAATGAACTAGAATGGGTAAAATGTATGTGGTGTAAAGTGTCCTCGGCTCCGTTGCATTGCAGTGGTTTCACTTCACCTCATCAATCTTGTCTGAAGAAAGAATAGGAGATCAGAAACCGTGAGACGAGGCCAGCGGCATGACTCTGAAAGCCGAGTTATTCCTAACCTGCCACCCACTGGGCGTGAACCTGACTCTCGCTGATATGAAGACGTTGCGTCTTAGAAGTTTAGTGTTTCCATTGTCTACCCGTAGCTTCACTGAAGCCCAACCTGTTGGAAACAAGGGCTCCTTTTAAGGTAGACTGGAGCTGTCATGTGATAGCTGCTGGAGGAAGAACCGTGAGGAGGAGGAGGAGGAGGAAGAAGAGGGGGGTGGACGGACACGCGAAAGGAGCAGCAGCTATTGTTTCAACCTTTCTCCCCGTCCACCATAGAGCCTAATGATGTTTGTCTCTCGAGGAGGACTTGTGGACATTGTGCAAATGTAGCACCAGGGGGAGTGATGAATGTGTCTGCCGGGGAGTTTCGGAGCACAAAGGTCAGAAAGATCAACCTCTCATAGGCTGTCGGTGGATTATCGATGCACACAATACGAGTAACCTCTCCGTAACCTCTCGGACTGAAAAACGGGTTGGGTTTTTACTGATATGGTTGATCGTTTCTCATCTCTCGTGTTGTTATTGCAGCATATTTGCATTGAGCATTTGCACATCGGAGAGAAAAGCAACCCTTTTGTTTGTCACACCCTCAGGACGGAGCACCTGCTGAGTGCCAATTTGAGATTTCAGTTCCCGTCCAAAGATGCAACATTCAAATTTAGATAAAGCAACATTTGTCACACAGCGTCAGCCTTTTGTCTGTCCCCCGGCTGAAAGGAAAACACTCTCATTCATTTATCCCTCTCTTCCTTTTCTGCCTCCTGGATGTGACACACAGATTTTTTCCCCCACTTGTAATTTTTCAAATCTCTGACAGTAGAGCTCGACCCTCCCCTACCCGTGTTTGGCCCGACTGTGTTTCTACAGCAACTGAATTCAAATCTAAACCTACAGCCCGGGCTTTTCTTGGCCTCATTGCTATGGTAACCTAAGAGAATGGGGGGGCGGGGGTCTACCGTCTCTTTGTAGTGACGGACAAGAGGGAGGCTACGGGAAAGGGTTAAGTGTTCGACAGCGAAACCAGAATTCCCCCATGGAGACCCAGGGGGCAGGGGCGCTCACCACATTTTGAAAATCAACATGTAGACCCACCCACGTGCTTCTGAACCCGCAAAGATCAGTGCAGCGGGTCGGAGGGATTTCCATAGGCTGCATTTCAGTCATGTTACCCAGTATAACAAGGGGTGCGATTAGCCACGGTGATCTCTTAAGTATCCCATAATATATAGCCACAAAGGGATTCTGTATGTATGATTTTTCTTTTTTTTTTTTTTTTTTTTTTTTTTTGCACTTGAAAGTGTTTTTCCTCTCGGCAGTTAATTCCGTGACCGAACTGCAAAAGGTTTGTGCAGGAAATGGGCGAAGCAGGGAGGATCCCTCGGGGAGAGATAAAAGGAAAATACCTAAAGTTATCCGCACACCTGTTATCATCTGCCTGCACATTTCCTCTCTCTCCTCGCCCTGCCCAGTTGTTTGAAAGATGCTGACTGAAAGGAGAGCCACTCATTTTATGGCGCCTCTGAATGCCCATCAAACACTGGAGGTCAGTCAAACATTAAACCTAACTATTAAGCACAGCAACAGCCCCAGGCAGGAATGCAGGGTTAATTGTTAGCCTTTTGTCTGCCTTTACTCTCAGTGTGTGTTTCGCCCTGTCTTAAGGCCACGAATGGAGTTGAATGAATTTCATAGCTTTGAGGCTCCAGACACTGCTGTCTGGAGGGACAGCGGTGTGAATGGCGAGGATATTGTGTTTCTCGTGATATTGGTGCTTCAGGGTTGCTGGACATTCAAGAGCTCTCTGCTCTTATATACAGAAGGTCTACTGGGGGAGAATCTAAAGATCAAGTGAAGAGATTTTTTGTTTCTATTTATTCGTTCATAACTAAGAGGATTGAATGTGTCGGACACTTCCTTTATCATTTAAGCAGCCTGTTGGCTGCAATATGACGAGATGCGGAAACGTCTCACACATTCCCCTGTTTACTTTCAAATGGCTTTGGCCTGCAACGTATGTGTTTCCCCCCCTGCACGCATCCTCCTGTCGTTTAAAGCTCTGCGATTGAAGGGGGAAAAAGAGTTCATTGAGAGACAGAATAAAGGGGGGGGGGGTAGGGTAACTTCAGTACCCTGAAAACCAGACTGCAGTCACCAGGCAACCAGCAGATCAAGTTTCAAAGCATGACAAGGAGTTGTAAGAAGTACAGAGATGTGTGTGTGTGTGCGCACTCGTGCAAGGATCCATCTGTGTGTTCAGAGTGTGACTCTGTCAGGATCCACATTGTTTACCTCAGTGTCCCTTATTGATAAACAAAAACAAGCAACTTTTCTGTGATTTAATGAACCCGCCTTCAAGTATTCACATACTCTTCTTAACTCTCCACTCCACCACAATCCAAACCCTAAATGACACGACACCAGCTTCATCTGTAATTTTGCAAATCATTACAATCATCACTCGAGTGATTCATGTGTTTGCACTTCAATGTAAGGCCCACGGACTTCCCGTCCCCTGAAAGTCACATTTAGTCAGCCACCTCCCCTTATTTTCATGAATCGTAATCGTGCGGATGCTCGTTTGTGACAAACATTGGAACTACAGTTGATGTTCACACTGTGCGTGAATTTGTCTGCCAGCATAAAGTCTGTGACTTTGACTGAGGCCTTTGTGACACTGGATGCCTGTGTCCTCTGCATGGTAAGCCCTCTTCCTGCATGTGCTGACTCTGCCTGTCTGGCTGTGTGTGTGTGTGTGTGTGTGTGTGTGTGTGTGTGTGTGTGTGTGTACTGACTCTCTCTCTCTCACCCATTCCTCTTTGCCCTCCCACCCTCACCCCTCCTCCCACAGGCCGTGTGTCTCTGACCCGCGGTGCTTCTCTGCTGGTGGATCGGCTGACCCTGGAGGACGAGGGCTGGTTCGAATGTCGCATTCTGCTCCTGGACAGCAAAAAAGACGACTTTAGAAACGGCACATGGACCTTCCTCTCCATCACAGGTGCAGCACTGCAGGAGTGTAGGGACTCGGAGAGCAGCTTCTTTCACTGCTCATCACCGGCACTGTTCGTGTTTAGAACAGCCACAGCATGGAGCCTGGCTGAGGCTCTTAAGGCGCTGGCAAGCTGAAGTGTTACAGCAGCGTATCAGGGCGTTCGGTGTGACGTTCTGTGCACACAGTGATCACATCTTGTGTTTGCTTAGGCTGCTCTGAGCTGATGTCAGCGTAGGAGTTATTCTTAAGAGTAACAGGACCAGGACAGCATATATGTGACTTGTGTGGGCTAAAGATTAAGGTTAAATGCTTAAATCAGAGTCTTTTTAACCCACTTACTTCCTACTCTCTGTCTCTCTCTCACACACTCACTCACACACACACTCTCACACATGGTTGTCCCACAATAGAGTTCCATTGAGAGTGTGAGGTCGGGATTTAATATGATTGTATTACGGTGAATGAAAGGCCTGCATGTGCTGCATCAGGTTGCAGATGAACACTGGACACCTTTGTACATAATAGTATTACATCAGTGCATGTATTGAGTACCACATGAGTACATGTTGCCAAAGAATACGTTCAGCAGTAACAAAACTAGACGTAACACAGAGCCTTGTATGTAGATGATGGTATATTTTATCCAGATCCCTTTCCAATTACATAAATGCATATAATTAAAACAGGGAGTTCAAAATCCATAAATCTCGTTCACGAACAGATTAAATAACAACGTTACATCCAAGTTCACCCACCAACTGCCCGTCTCCACACAGAGGACATAAAACTGCTCACAGGGTCGAGAGATCATCGAGATAAACCAGATCTCCAACGCAGCTAACCAAGCAGGTGTTACCCATCGCACCACAACTATTTAAGTTTCCCTTTTAGGCATTTGTCGAGAAGTCGTCCACCTCGAAGAACATGCCGTGGTCGACTGTTGATGTCTGCATTTAGTCTTCTATGTCCCAACTGAATACGTAATTAGAAATATTGAATCTGTGCTGTCGTTGTTCCAGCTCCGCCTGTGTTCATCAAGACGCCACCAACTTTCGTCGAGGTTCTGCTCGGAGACTCGCTGACTCTCAGCTGTGGAGCCCATGGCAACCCTCGGCCAACTGTCGTCTGGCATAAAGATGAGAGCCGAATAGAGAAACATGAAAAAATAAAAGTGAGCTGGATTAACAGATGGCATTTGCTGTATTTTGATTAAATGCTTTATAATTAGCATTTTCTGTAGGAGTCGTAGCTTTGACTGCTTTGTTATCTTCTCCATGGCAGCCTCGTAATCTACCTCTCGACTTTTCTCTCCTGTCGTCTTACTCTAGGTACTCAATGGCACCTTGTCTATGGCTTCTGTCACAAGAAATATTTCAGGAGTGTACAAATGTCACGTGTCCAACTCGGAGGGGAACCTCACCCACTATACGCAGCTGCAGATCAAAGGTCAGTGTCGAACTGTCAATCATCTGGGAAAGACAGAATCCCTGCTTATCTCATGTCCAGCACAAGCTTGATAGTTTGTCTGTGCTCCTGCACAAACCCAGTGAACAGGTTGACGATCATGGTTGCAGAGCCCATACTGCCACCTACAGTCCATCCCCTGCTGTACCGTTGATTCAAGGCCTTCCAACACTCGCCATAGATCTCTCTAATCTACGTCACAACCGCCTGCATCACTATACAAACGCAATCTTAACATTCGGGCGTGATGTGTTTTCTTCCAACTTGTCAAAAGGACCTCCAATCATCATCATCTCCCCAGAGGACACCACTCTCAACATGTCCCAGGATGCAGTTCTGCAGTGTCAGGCCGATGCCTACCCTTCTAACCTCACCTACGATTGGCTGAAACAAGGACAGAATGTTTACCACATTGAGTGAGAACATGTCTTTCTATATAATGTATTCGTGAACCCATACTTTGTATTTGTTGAATGTTAAATATAGGTAACGTGACATCATCAATCACAGTATCCTCGTGTACTTAATTGGAATACCGGGTAGACTATTTAAAGGAAGCCTTTTAAATATACACAATGGATCAATGGGGCATGTTTCCGAAGCATGCTGCTAATGCAATCAGTTCTAATTAGATTATGAATCTAATTATACCGTTGTATCGTGTGGTCATGAGCACGCTATAAACTTTTAAAAAAGGAGATTACGGTTCAGATCATCGTGATATATCCTAAAATTACCTTCTCAAACATTCAATTAATTAACAATTCATCTTCATTACAGTGAAATTAGTTTTCTTGTCAATGGGGTCACTTCTTAAATCGTGTTGTATCTTTTGGCTTTAGGTCGCTTAAGTCCAGAGTGAAGGTTTTGGTGGATGGAACACTTCTTATCCCTAATCTCATTCCAGAGGATGCTGGCAACTATACCTGTATCCCAACTAATGGGTTACTCACCCCGCCCTCGGCCTCTGCACACCTCAAAGTGAAACGTGAGGGTTTAGTCAGCTACGAGAGTGTCTGGCTCCATATACACATTCATCTTTTATAACCCTGCATGCCCGACATTTTGTAATTGATGCCTCTTCTTCCATCACAGACCCTGCACGTGTGGGCCGAATGTCCCGGGAAACGTACTTGCCTTCAGGCATGGAGGGGGTCATTATCTGCCCCATTCAGGCTGATCCTCCTGTGCTGTATGTCAACTGGACCAAAGATGGGAACAATTTGAATCTTGACAAAGTGAGCTACGCAGCATAGAAATGCAATGCATCACAAATTGCACACATTCCTCGTAAATCACTTCGCATCATTTCTCACTGTTTTCATCTTTCCAGCTCCCAGGTTGGATAGTGAACTCCGAGGGCTCCGTTTTTATAGCAACAGCCAATGACAACGCTGTAGGCATGTACACATGTACAGCCTATAACAGTTACGGCACCATGGGACAGTCTGAACCCACCACAGTCATTTTGCAGGTGAGGCTGGTGAAAACCCTTTCCTGTTAGTGGACACAGTTCTACATGGGCGGAAGTAAAAAGGCTCTCTGTCTCCCCTCCAGGACCCGCCATCATTCCGAGTGCATCCTCGGCTGGAGTATCTCCAGGAGGTGGGCAGAGACTTGATCATCCCCTGTGAAGCCATCGGAGACCCCGCTCCAAACATAACTTGGAGCAAGGTACAGAAAATGTTCTACTCTGATATTTATCGGGACTGCACAAACATGTCTTAGACATGTCTTATTTTGACCCGTTGCTGTCCGTCTTCACAGATTGGCCCTACTCCTCGCTCTCTGTACACTGTGTTGGCCAACGGCTCCCTCCTGCTGCAGCCGCTCAGTAAAGATCACCAGGGGGGCTGGGAGTGCTTGGCCACAAACCGCGTAGCGACTGTCAGTGCAGGCACCGTGGTCATGGTGCTGGGTGAGTGGGCCCACCTTATTTCAGCAAACCATTGTGTTGATATGGGACACTTAACCTGAGCGCATCCACGCGTATTGCCAACAGATCAAACTTACAGAAGTGTTTTTGTGTTCCTCAGGCACAAGTCCTCATGTTGTGTCCTCAGTGTCTGTCATCACGGAGATGAACCAGGCCAATGTGTCCTGGGTGCCTGGCTTTGATGGTGGATACACCCAGAAGTTCACTGTATGGTCAGTAACATACAATACATACTGTATGAAAAACAATCCTAACTGTTTTATGCTCTGTCTTTAAATTTTCTGTTTTAAATTTTTTCCAGGGTCAAGCAGGCATCTCGAGGAAAACATGAATGGGCGTCTTTGCCTGTGCCAACATCCAAATTCTACCTGCTGGTGACCGGGCTACTTGCTGGCACCGGCTATCAGTTCAGCGTCCTGCCTCAGAATAAACTCGGCTCTGGACCTTTCAGTGAAATTGTTTCTGTGCGGACTGAAGGTTCGTGAAAGTGAACGTGTTCCGTTTGGAGTTTCCCCTCACTCTCTCTAATGCTGTTTCGTTTCTATCAGTTTGAACTTATATTGGGTCTTCTTATCAGCTGTGCCAACAGAAGCACCTACAGATGTCACCACTCTCCCATTCCTGGATCCTCCAATACTCCTGTCAGCCAACCAGACAGACCGAGGTATTTTCCTCCAGTGGTGGCCTCCAGAGGCTCCATCCTCTCCACTGACGGGCTTTGTGCTGCAGGCCCGCAGGGATCAGGGCCAGTGGGTCATCCTCAGCAGCAACATCGGTGCCAATCAGAGTGAACTACTCGTACAAGGACTGTTAAGGGTACAGATCAGTTCATTTCTTACTTAGCATCTGTACTTTAAAAAGATCAATCAGTGTGGCCTCTGGATTTCTTGCTTTTACAACCTTTATGTATGTAGATTAAATAGCTATTAGGCCAGAAATTGTGTTGTATCAAACTGATGATGTGATTAATAATAAACTCTCAACATGATCATACTAGTTTGTGTTTCATAAAACACCTTACCTGTCTCTCCTTTAGGACTCCAGTTATGATCTGAGGCTGATGTCTTGTAGCAACAAAGTTCTTAGTGAACCGAGTGAGTCTGTCAATGTATCCACCATAGGTAAGAGGCTTTGTATAGATTACCAAGAGCATCGCATGCATATTGAGTCAATGTTCCCGCATCCCACTTGCAATCACCTTCATTGACTCCGGCCTGATTACAGGGATGGAGATTTACCCCCTGCGCCCGCGTTTCTTGGAGTTCATCCCTGAGCCCCTGCTGGCTGGTGTGTTAGGAGGCGTGTGCTTCCTGTTCGTGGCCATCATCCTCTCGTTGGTGACAGCGTGCTACATGAGTCAAAGGAGACAGCGTCGGCGCAGAAAGAGAAGACAAGGTAAAATGTTGGATTTTATGTTATCCAAAAAGTTTAATTATTGTCCACTTCCAAGTTTATGTGAAATACACTTTGTCATATTTGGACAGTTTCAACTGTGCTGCATTTTAATCCTTCCTTCACCTTCCTCTCTTAGATCTCCCATCTGCCCTCCAGAAGGGCTCATCCCCAGAGTAAGTGTCCTTACCAGTACAGCTCTATATGTTCACTGAACATTTTTGTTCCTCCATTTGTATTCAGAGTGTAACAGTCCATATGATGTAATTATTGCTTATTTCTGGCTGTTTTAGTAAAGCTTAAATGTTATTATAGCCGCCAGTAGACTGTGGTGAAACACGTTATACAGCCCCAATATCACAAACGTACAGCATACGACATCCCCTGTCCTTTTCGACCATCGCTTCAGATAAGGAAAAACTTACGATGCTGCCAGCCGTCTAACTTCATAACTTTAGTAAATTACATATTTATTTTACTTGATGACAATTTGACTGAAACCAACAATGAAATAAAATTACTTTGCACATTTTTAATATTTTTTTTTGTCAGAACCTGCAGTACTTTAAGGTTTGTTTTAAACAACAACTCTTGCCCATGTCTTCCTCAGAACTCGCTCACCTCCTCACAGCCCAGACAGTGTCCTAAAGCTGAAGCTGTGTCCGCCGCTCCCCTTCTTCCCCACCTCCTCCTCCTCACAGTCCGATCGGTCGTCCTTTGATAAAGGCAGCCGTGGGGAATACCACGACCAGCGGAAACAACTCATATCCAACTCATCTCCGCCGCCACATTACACACTCTTTGAGAGTCACCTGGGCTCTCAGGATGCCTCACCATCTGCTCTGGAGTCCATCTCCAGAGGCCCAGATGGGCGCTTCATTATCCAACCGCTGCCAGAGGGTTCCAGTCCATCCAATAAGAAAAACTCCAGAATAGAGGTCCTGCAAAGTAACGGTGGGGCAAGTGGCTCAGGGAGCAACAGGTCGTCACTCAGGGACTCACCTAAGTCGAGCATCTTGAGCTCAGATAAGGACAAGAGGAAGGATTCTCCTCTCACTGTGGACGTCCCAGAGCTGAGCAGACCTCCTTCCTCGCCTGGAAGAGTACGAGCCATGGCCAGAAACTTCTCCCGTCACGGCTGCTTCTACTCTGACGACGAACAAGGCTCAGAGGCTCTGTTGGAAAGAGCCAGCTTCTATTCAGACAAGAGTGAGAAAAAACCCAGCGATTCTCTCAGGAGATATCACATGCCAGGCCACACTGAAGATCTGTTCCCAAGTTTGGGGAGGAGAACAAAACTGCTGGATAGAGACCAACACCATTCAGACTACCAGCCTCTGGAGAGTCAGCTGACTAACAACAGCACCCTGGTGTCACAGCTTGACAGCGAGCTGGAGACGGGTAGTATCAACAAGTGTGTCCAACTGGCAAAAGAGAGGGAAGAAATGGAGAGGGAGCTGGAGAGCTATACAGCCGATCCAAGAAGTCATGGGAGAGACGAGGGACAGTCTGGTAAGACAAAAAGCCCTCACAGGGACACGCCCAATGCAGAGGAAGAGCCTATATGGAAGCCTCAAGATGTAACGATAAGACAGAAACACAGGCCCTCGGGTCAGACGAGTCGGGTATCTGACTATCGGAAGGCGTGCTACTTTGGGAACACCAGCAGTCCCTCGGACCGGCTCCCTACGTCTCGCATACAGTGGGACATCAGCCCGGTTACATCAGTCACCAGCCTCATTCCTGTGCAGAGCCCCCGGGAGACCATATCGCCCAGATCACAGCATGTTCGCACATGTCGGGAAACCACAGGGGACTCTCTTGCTGTCGATTCGTCACGCTCTCCAGTCACTCAGAACACCTCCCTCCACATGCTGTCCCCTGATGTAAGCTCAGAATGTCCCCCTGTTCTGTGTCTAGAAACGCCAGACAGAGTCAGGTCATTGAGTCCTCTGAGAGAGCCAGATAGATGCAGGAAGTCCATGACTGAGCAGGGCTTAAGGGAAAAGATACAGGACGGAGGTGTTGCATCAAGGACCAGACATTCATATGCTTCTGCGGGCACTCAGCCCTGGGCTTCAGCTGCCAGAGGGCCTTCAGTTGAGAGTGAGAGGCCTGAAAGTTCGGCCTCTGCACCACATAATCAGCCGGAGAGAACTGCAAACTACTACACAGCCACGAGGGATCCCAGTCCATCTAGTTATCCTACCTTACCCTATGAACATCATGAAGTAGGGGCAAAGGCCAAAGAAAAAGACACTCGGGCCCGGGATGACCGACGGGGTTCAGGGTTTTACTCTGAGTTAGAGAGAGAGGGGGTGCGAACACGCTCCAGGAGAAGTGACAAATGTCTCTTCTCTGATAGTCCAAGTCCCGTTTCAACATTGACACTTGTAGAAGAGGTGGATAGTGACCAGTCCCAATTTTCTGTCCCTGGAATGTCAGGGTCCTTCAAGGCTAAGCCTGTAGCTCCATCTCCCCAGATGTCCCCACTGCAGACAAGTGCCATTCTTGAATACCTGAGCCTTCCCGGTTTCATTGAAATGAGTGTGGATGAGCCGGTGGAAGAGGCTGCAGTCACAGACGCTGCTGGACAAAGTTCAGAACTAAAGCCAGAAAAGGCCCTGGTAGCTAAGCCCGATGTAGTTCCTAAAAACTGGGAGGTTCACGTTCAGGACAACCGGGTCACAAACTCGACCCACCATTCTGCAGAAGCCAGCGTTATTTCTGGTAAAAAACAAGGCCATAAACACTCCCTCCATGTGGAAGCTAGAGATTCCTCACATAGAGTAAGATTTCCAGATGAGACGACACCATCGTCACCTGGTCCAGAGAAAACTAGCAAGCAGCTCTATAATGAGAAAACACAAATTCGAGTTGGCAACAAAAGTACCGACAGACCTGAATCCAGACTTGGATCCAGGTCTGCTCACACCTTGGTCAGTGCAGCTAGAGGAATGGCAGACATAGTGTCAAAACACTCACAGAGCTTTGTAGACAGCCGGGAGTCTTTATCAGAGCAATCCCAAAGACAAGCTTCTCAGGGCAGCCGGACTAATAACATTGCATCACGAATATGTCAAGCCCCTGCGCCATTTCTAAAGAAGTCCTTAAGCATCGGCCCTTGTAGGACACTCTCGGGTATGGGACAGCCTCGTCCTTTCCTCAAGAAATCCATCAGCTTAGGCTCACAGAGGTGGGAGCACTTTGAGAGCCCTAGGACATATATTTCTGAGAAATGTTATTGGGACGAGTTCCCTCACCCAGATGTCAGGGTAAAGTCCTACAGTTTGGGTCGCAGTCCGCCTTCCCTTCCCAGGCCAGCCCCCACCTGGAGGGAGTATGTCCCGTTGAGACGCCCCAGCATGGGGAGCCTGGAGAGGCCTCAGCACGCACAAAGATCTTTAGCAAGTCCTTCCTACCTCACTCCTTCCATGTACCCACCGAGACGAACCTCAATGTCCCCGATGCTGGAACCCTCCGATCCCCGACGGCAGGCCACTGTTTTCCCAGAGTCCTCCAGGTGGTCTCCCTCTTATCAAGATACCATGAGGTCTGCCCCGCTTAAATATGTCCCCATGCCCTCTTCCATCCCTGTCCTCCAGTACCAACACTGGCCAGGATCCAGAGGGGAAAGCATGAGACCCATGGAGCCCAGCAGGGGCCCTCCGAGGTCCTACCTGCCCAGAGGCATCAGCTGGCCCTCACCTCACTATGCCCCCTTTCCACCCAGAGAGGCAGAAAGTTACAGACAGCCAGACAGGATGATGAGGAGGGGAGGGGAGACGGAGATCAGGGAGGTCAGAGAGACCAGGGAGGGAGGGAGGACCAGTTATGCCAGTCAGAGCAGCGGTAGAGGCAGCGCCGGCCTCTTTCGACAGTCCCTGTCCATCACTCCCACACTGCTCAGCTCCCCCGAAACCACAGAGGAGAGCGAGCGGCACAGAGCTGAGATGGAGCTGCCTGAGAGGAGAGCGAAAAGGTGAAACACCACCACACCTGGGAAATAACAACAAACTCACTGGAAGTGTCTTCCTGGCAGAGGGATTTATTTATGTTGCCAAAATAACATTAATTCTGTTGTTTTTTTTGTTTCTTGTTTGTGATGACTGTTACCTGACCACTTGTTTTGTGTATCTCATTAGAAGGAACACATCAGTAGATGAGAGTTATGAGTGGGACTCTGCTGATGCGTGCGTGGACTCGGAGGTCCTGGAGGCCATGAGGTTTGATCAGTCACAAATGGGTTTTCGGAGAGGCAGGTCGGAGCTCGGATATGATCAAGCCGGTGGCCTCCGGGACCAGCGGCAGAAAGGTGATGATTTATTCTCCTCTTCCTCGTTGTGTGTGTGTGTGATGATATTGATGTCGCATGTGTCATTGTGAGTGTAATGCTTGATGTGATGGTGCTGCACGTGTTCACCCTTTGTGCTGTGATTATTGTGAGCTTGTCCCATGACATTGCCCATCCATGCATTCCCTCTCCCTGATGCCGTCCCCAGGCCCGTGTCCCTCAGTCAGCCCGCCAGTTTCCAACCCACCTCGCTGCCAGTACAGCCGCTCCCTAAGTGAGGCGCGCTTCAACGCTCTCCGCCAGGAGTACCAAGAGTACAGGCAGACTCAGCAATCCATCTGTTCCCGTGAGCCCTGCCGCGATTCAGCCTCTGACTCCGGCTCAGCGCTGCTCTAGCAGCTTAACTCGGTCCGTTATTCTGCCTGCCCTCTCACCTCTTCCCTCTTTTTTTATTTCCCACCTCTCACTGCTCACCTGCCTGCATCATTTTCTTGCCTGCTGCTGTATCATCCATGTGCAGTGAATTTGTGCATGCCAAAATCTATGCTGCTCGCAATTTATAGCTCAAATGTTTTACGGCTGTCCTTTCCGAGGACTGTTCTAATGATGTACTACTCTCTGTCCCTGTCTTTCACAGGTATATCTAAGACGCATACCAGAAGGCAGTTTTAATGAACAGACGACAGCACTGTGGTGCTGGACTCTGTCACACATCACTGGAGCTTTCTAACGTGAGAAAACTTAATTGTTCAAAGTTGTCTGTCATCTGTAACATGGCATACAGCACCATAAGCTGAGAAGGGATTATCTATTTTTCTGAGAAGCTCGTGCAACTGTATTTTGGGATTTCTTTCTTCTTTTTTTTTAAACCTTGACAATCAGGCACACAGGGCCCCTTTGAGCAATGAAATGCTCCCCATTGACTGAGATAAGAAAAGACCTGCTTAATAAAAGCAGCAGCATGCTACATAATGAAGGTTGTATTTCAAGTTCATGTCTATCGCATCAAAGACCTCCCTTTGATAATAAAGGGATGCTAATGACGACTGTGTAGGTTTGTTTCCAAGATAACATCTGCTCGTGCAAATGGCTGTATCTGTAATGTTGCCATTCAAACATGTTCACCACCATCTCCCTCTGACTATGACAAAAGAACTGATATAATAGTTCTCAAAAAATCACATGATTAGGCAACTCTGATTGTTTTGTACTTTGGTACAGAATCTTGGAGCAGTTTGCGATATCTAACTTACAGACAATAATTTACTACTTAAAAGAAAACTCTGTTTGTGATTTGCCACTGTGGTTTTCCTGTTGGTTCCCTCAACTCATTTCCTGTTCTATACATATTATATATAACGTTCACCTGTTGAGACTTTATAAATGAAATCACTTCAAATAGCCTCACCAGTATTTGTTCCAGATGTACAAATGTTTATATGTACCCCAATGTGAATGAACCCTGCTGTATTGTATATCCCACTTCATCGTTTCATCGGATGACAAAATGCTACTTTACTGCCCCTGAATTGGTCTAAGCTTGCCTCTGTGATTAAATTACAGCTCCCGTAAAACTTGATTGAAAACACGGGGAACATGTTTTTTTGCCTTACTTTTGTTAATGTCACAAGCACGCACTACTTGATTGACCACGTAAGGTTTGAGCTGACGAGTTAAAATCAAAAGATTCAAAATGATTGAAAGGTTGTTCGTTTTTTACACGAGTTTTGCTCACATGATGAGTCTGTCTGTATATTTATGAAGGTGAGTTATGATATGCAACAATGTTTACAATTCACTTCATTGATGTGAAGGCAACACTGTGAATATTTTCATCGACTTCTGATTCTGTATTTGAATTGCTGTGAAGTCTAATGAATTTTGTGTCCATTAACCCACTCTTCTTCTGTTTTGTTATTAACTGAAAAAAGCTGTTTTTATTACGTCACCTGACAAACAGAGGTTTTAAGAATATATTTGTAGCTAAGATTCAAAATGTGTACTATATTTAAACCAGAGACTTCATATGGAGTGAGTATGCATTTACGATGATGGTTTTGGAAGTTTTGTACAAACTAGACATTTTTATATCTCACCACCTGGTTGTTTTTGTCATTTTTTATATGTTTGTACTGAATAAATTGTTTTATTCTGAATGCACCAGAATGAAAGAATGTGTGGATTTTTTTTTTTGTGTTTCGACAATAAGCATATAACAATAAACGCCGTTACTCGTTAACTTATTTTTCCAGAGCAGGGACACACCTATAATCACCTGTCAAACCTACTTAAATCTAGTTTACTAATCCTCTCCCTTTGTCTCAGGTTACTCAACCCACCCTCACTTCCCCCTTTCCCATGCATTTACCTTCCTGCCTCATCCCCCCCCCCTCCTTTTGTCCTCTCGCTCGTTCAGACTTGTGTCTACCAACTGGGCCTTAAACAGCACCTGAGACAGGTCCTCGTATTTTCCTCCTATCGTTAAACCTTTGATCTGTTGTAGTGTGGTCCTTCCTAGTGAAACCATGTTGTGTTAGCCACGTTAACAAGTAGGCTTAAAAGAGGTCAAAGTCTCTGTTTTTGTCCTGCCCATCGTTATACATTCTCTATGAACTGACTTGAAAATACATGTGTTGCTAAAAGACTAAAAACAAGTAAGATTAATTTAAAAGACTTAGAATCTACAGCCATGCTAATGACAAAGCTAACATGCTGATGGTAACCATGTTGGTTTAGCATGTTGGCACCCTAATGTTTTTTTTAATTAGGACTAAACACAACTCAATACAACTGAGTCTAATTAGAATTTCTTTAGCTGCTCATAAATCAAATTAATGAACAAATTAAATTTCTGACCTGATGGTGGCGCAAAATGAAAAGTCAGGGGATTCCAATTCATTTTAAAGGGAGCATAAATGTCTGTACTAAATGTCCTGACAATGTGTCCATTAGTTGGCAAAACATTCCACTAAAAGACAAAACTGTCGAGCTGTAGAAAAGTCTGGCGATCACTAAAGTCAGTATAGGAGTCATTCTCTGGGGACCATGAATGTCTGTAGAAAATCAATCTGTATAAAAACAATCCATGCGGTAGTTGTAGAGATATTTCAGTCCAACAGTGCCACCCATAGAGCCACGCAGGCATGGCTCTATTTCACCCCATCCTTAAATCTCCTGTATTTCAACATACTGTAAATCTGGAGACAGCGAGTCACGGGTGTCTCACCTCGTCTCTCAGCAACAAACATTGCCAGTAATTGTAATAATCCATACTATTACTGTTTATTTCAAGGACTGAGGGAGAGATTTAACATCTCAGTCAGTGATATTGAGAGAATAATAAAGAGGTGTACTAGTTACACGCTACATAGAAGGTGTAGATCCTCATTAATTCAGCCTAAATGAGAAGAAACAATTATTGTTTTGTACATCCTAGAGATTATGTGTTGTGGCGTACTGTTGTCATTTAAGTGCTAACCGTATAGTTTACAAGGTCAGAGTTGGCTTTGATCAGATGCAGAGGTGAGGACAATGAGGTGAGGACAGCCTGCCTGTGGTGCAACATGTCTCCATTTAAAGAACGTGGGTTAAGGTAAATGACCCATAAGCCCCTCAGATGTGTAGATCTGCTCTCTGTTCACATACATATTAACCAATACAGTGAATTACACACAACAAGCCATTTGCTCTTTAACTAAAGCCTTTTTATTGATTTAGGTAAGAATTCATCACAATACAGAGGTCTGCACCAACAACACCGACTTCCTTTATTTCTCTTCCTGGCTGAAAGTGTCGCATCACTTGGTTGACATTCGCATGACATGTTTGACCATATTTCCGATGCCATCAAAGATGTAGTGATAGTGATAATCTGTTTCCCACATGAAGGAAGGAGTGCTGACCACTTTGTTCTTCTCATCCACATAGGCTTCGTGAAAGAAAGGGTTAAGGTCAAAAGCAGGAGCTATACTTCAGATCATAAACAATGACAAAATGGTCATCAATCTGAGGGGATTTAGTCAACCGATAGCAAAAAGAGACCTCTGAAAGGATATGTATGGCTCACGGACATTGTGGCGAGCGCCCATGCTCTTCACAGCCTGCACCATGTTTGTGTGAGGCCAGTTCCCCCAGCGAGTGCTTTCGTCCCGCTCGTAGCCCATGGTCACCTCGATGCTGGGCAGCACGCGGCAGGCCAGCACCGGAGCCATGCTGGCCAGCCTGAAACAGGAGCAGACCGTTAGTTGAGGTTTTTACTAAATTAAGGTTAGGAGACCAGACTGATCAGGGTGTGAGCATAATTTCCTTACCAGTATCAGACAGGAGAGATTCAAAGCCTGAAAAAGAAAGGCTGTCCCAGTATAAATCACCGGCACAGCAGTGTGAAGCTCAGTGTGTACTTATAAAACTACTATTACTGACCAAAAGATGAGTATGAGGCAAGATTACAGTCAGCTGTTTATCCCCATGTGTCCATATTAACCAGCAATCTTGGGATACATTTGATCAAACAATATTATTTAAATCCCCCACACACAGTATGGTCCACTCACACAGGGGATTTCACTTATTGCACCTGACTGGAGTGGGTTGTGCACAGCCCACACATGACTGATATCTGTCCTCATAAAGAGATGAAGTTTGGTGACCTCACATTATTCCTCCCAACTTGAACCTAAGCAGAGGTCTAATCCGCTAAAGTGAAAACACCTGAGTGTCTTTAGATAAATACAGGTGCTGTTTTATGCCTATAGGCTTCTTGGTATTTATTGACGATATTATCAACACTACAGTCCAGTCACAACTTGTGGTCTCCGTATGGTGTAGATTTTGCTGTGCAGCAGGAATTTTGACTCCATTGTAGGAAAAGTGCAGGTGTAATAACATAAACGATGGGTTTGTTTCTTCCCAATATTTTACAGAAAGTAGGCCACATTAAGTTAATGCATCATGCAGATCTATAAACAAAACACACAGACATGCAGTGAGCTAGGTTCAACTGTTTACTGCTTTTTTCAATCAAAGCAGTTGTTTAACACTAATGACTTCAGCTGACAGCACATGCTAAGGTCTGCTGAGGTTTAAATTCAGTACAGTCTGTGTGATAATGAAGAGCAATTGATTGTCAGCTTGAAGCACTTCACAGACACTGAGCATCTCCCCCCACTAGACTCCATCTACTAACAAAAGGTTCAAGCGCAAACTTGCTGATTTCAGATGAATCTTTAAAAGACGTTTGAGTTAAGGGTGCCTCCATTGGGCCTCTTTCACAGAAGACATTTTGACTTGTCACAGTAGGAACAGCACAGGTGTTTCTAATGACACTAATGAACGCTCTGTTCTACTCAAGCGTTACAGTGAGAGTGACAGCGAGCAAGCCAGCAAGATACGAGGACCCCGAAATCATAGCAGCTGAGTGGAATTCATACATCAATCATTTCATTATTTACACCTGTGCTTTTCCTACTGTGACATTTAAAAATGTTTTCCTGAGAAAAAAAGCCTCTAGATTTACATTTTGTCTTTCATACTCCTAAATCAAGGCGGAGTGAAACACTGATGAAATCAGAGGAAACGCATGAAGGGAGGAGCTGCAGCAGGAGGCTTAATACCGTGCAGGAGCTGCAGAGAAGCGGTAGGATTTGCCACCGGGGGCTAAATTACTGCTTTGAGAAAGATAGTCTTATTCCAAATGTATACACTGCTTGTCTTTTGTCTTATGTTTTTTTTTTTTTTTTTTTTGAAAGATGAACACATTTCAAGACAACAGTTACTGCTCTGATAAAACAGAGGGTGCATGTATCCGTCTCCTGTCTGCAGCAGCAACGTGTGGATCACAGTAATACGTTATACTGACTCCTACATTACACATCAATGTCTGCTTTGCTCATATTTTTCTTGTCACTTGTAGGGTAGAAAAACAATTCTCGTTGTTGGCAACACTTCAATGTCATGACGTTGCAGTATGTACTGAAAGTAAAAAGAAAAAATATGCGATTTGGCATACAGTCTCCCTTTCCTGCATCTGCTGTCATCTCAGAGCTGCCATTCTGCACGTGGCCACCAGGTGTCCCCTCATCTGTCACCTGTCTCCCCAGCTGCCCCTCATCGCTCCACGTGTGCCGACATAGTAGCCAAAGGATCAATCACGCTCTATCACATCACATACTGTATGTTGCATCAGTGTCATTTTGTCCTACTCGCTTTAACTCCTCGGGATTTGCCGCATGTGACTGCCTTCATGTTGCCCACTGTAAGATTTCCTCTAATGTTACCTCACAGAAGATCAGCTGAGCCTCAGCTGATCTTCTGGTGAGCCTGATTATCTGTGTCTGCTGGGATCAGCGAGAGGAGAGCCAATGTGCAGATTTTCAGCAGATAGCCTCTTAAGTGGTGCATCAACTTGCACTTTGTCTCTTTCTTAGCTTTCCTTCGCTTATTTGATGCAATGCAGATTTGTATTACATCATCAGATTTGCCTTTTTTTGCGATTTATTTTTGTGCGTGTATATTTTGTGAATGTTTAAACTACTGTATCATCACAGAATATGTCATGCATATTGGCATAATGGTTTTTAGAGGTAGTCTGTGTGCTAAAAGTAAACGTTTATTTTCTAGGAAACACTGTACTGACTATGTGAAAGTAATTACATTGTTTGATGTTACTAGCATGTATTGTAATGTAACTATTATTAATAATAACAACTTATGTCGGTAATAAAATATATTGTATCCAAACTTAACTGCAACATTTTAAGCAACATTCAATAATGAATTGTATGAATATGTATTTCTATTTATTTATCTACATCTAGAAACAGCCCAGTATTCATTGTCTGACCTTTTTTCCTTTCCACAGTTGCCTCGATGTCCCAATTCCATTACAGGGATCCTTTAAATCTCGTGCCTTTATCTAGTTTAATGTAATCTTATGTAATCTGATTTAAAGTGTTGTGCGAACCAGTGACAGACTGCCATTTTGCCTTATGTTTGGATTTAAAATGTGAATTCTAAGTTTAAAAAAAGCCACAATGTTGCATGCTGCTGCGCTAATACTTAAACATATTGATTGTACATAAGAAGAGTTACACAGTATTGCTCTTTCAGTACTGATAGATTAAATAGCGACCAAATGATACATACCCAATAGGCTTGCGTGAGCGGTGGAAGTCTTTAAGCACTCTTTCCACATCATTGTGCAGCTTGCAGTCTTTGCCGTCCTTCGCAAAAGAGGATCTAAAGAGTTGAGCATCACATATTGATATTAGTTCTCCATCTTTATCATGTCAGCTTGTATTTCACACTACACAGTCTCATCTTTCATTAACTCTCACAGATTCTTGGTGACGCCGTGGCCTCCAGGAAAGATGACTGCATCAAAGCTGTTGACGTCCAGCTTGGACAGGTCTTGCATTTGCATCTTTTCTTGACCATGACTGAAGCGAGCTGATTCCATCATCATGTTCCTATGTGACGGCCAGAAATAATCATAAATACTACCTTATGGAATTAATCAAGTCAGGGGGATAAACATATGTTAAATAAGCCACTGGACCCGTATATGAATCTCGTCCATCTGAAAGTGTATCAGTATTTCCAAACAAGCCTACCGGTTCTCCCCAGAGCCAGGCTGCTTCCTCATGTGGTCCATCACATGCATTTGCTGTTGATTTGGAGCAAACATCTGGAAGCGAGCACCGTTACGGCTCAGGTGGTACATGGTGCTGAGGACAGAGGTGTAAATTACCATCATCTGCATGGTGATATGTTCAAGCAATGTGTGAAATCCTGATACTCACTATACTCCCTCATGGACATCAGTCCCATCCCACCAGCCACATCCAGAGAAAACCTGGATTACATTGTGATTCACAAATCACAATAATGCCCACACTAGTCATTTAACTCTTTTCATTGGCCACATATTGGTGCGGTTCACTTACCACTGCAATATTGGTATTTCCCCAGTTGCCATAGTCACCCTGGTGAACAAAGCAGGCGGGCTGGCGAGAGAAAACAGCCAGTGTTTGTTTTGACAGCAAAGTCCTGGATGCCAGCATGATTTAGCTTCAATCTTACTGCGTCAGGAGGAAAATGTAAAAGTTTGCCACAGAGCCTGAAGACTTTGAATGGTAGTAAAATGTACCTTGCTGTGCCTGTATATATACCACCAGAGAGGGACAGGTGACGTTACCACGTAAGCTCAATTACCTGAGAATAGCATTTGCTTCTTTGCCTCGAATGGACTATTCCCCTGCTCAACACCTTTCCTGTTTATTCACCTGATTAACTTAAGTCATTTGGCCACTGAGTGACTCTTGAGCTCAGAGTATCTCAACATGAAGTGCTTTAACCCCTGAAATATCTTGACCCATTTAGAAGGCAACTCTTAGCATGGTATTTAGATGGAGAAACCTGCAGAAATAAATGCAAACTATGTTATTGATAGTTTTACATTTTGGAGCAGTTGACTGGTATCCGTTACACAACAGTCTGCATCCATGTGCAGTTTCTTGAAAATGCTGGTTGGTGTATTTGAATAAGGTAGGAGTGGATGTGATGCCTTGACATAGTAAAGGTATACTGTATGCCCTTTAAAGTCCATTAGGTTGTAAGGCTCTTACTCACTGTAATGCCATGGTCCGTCTGCGATGTCTAGACAGTAAACCCTGAAATACCTTGATCAGACGGAAATGTCAAAGTCAATATACTGTTTGATCAAATCTACAGCTCTCACCTGTGGGCTGCATTTGGTGATGGAGTTCGAATTAGTGAAGAACCCAAGAGTGTACAAATGACAAACATGAGGCAACAATATGGCATTAATCTTTATGACCACTTTTTATGTAGAAACAATCAATATGTACATACTGGTGATGAAAGCATATGACAATTTGATAAACAAAATGCAGGAATGGAGTAAACAGAACAATATACAACCAACGAGTCACCACATCAATCACAATTTTAAGCCTCACCTGGCTGCAAGATGTTCTCATACGATTCTGCCTGAAGATTTAAAATTTGCACACGAAAGAACTCATGCATAAAACAAACACGTACTGAAACGGTCACATATGGTAATCAAAGTACAAATAAGGTTTATTTTTAAAAATCAAATACAAGAAACATGACACGACCAACTTATGCAGTGAGGTTCCTGTTACTAAATGTCTCTTATTGTGAAACATTCAGACACGTTTCTCAATTTCTCCGTGGTTGTGAGCGCTCCAACACACACACACACTACATGCCGTGATCCTTTTTAAAACACCACAAAGACGGGTCACATTGGGACAATTTTCTTATTTCAAGTAAAGATGTGATTAACTAAGACTAAACCAGTGACGGGTGTCTACCAAGCAAAAGAAAAGAAAGTAAGTCTGCACAGACAAGTAAATAATAAATAATCAGGTATATTTGATAATATATATGAAAGAAATGTCAAAAAAAAATCTTAAGTGTATTTCTGCATTTTTTTTTATGCATCAGGAAAATAAAATCATACACAGCAAGCATATCAAAAATAAAAACAATGCTTAAGAAAGCTCCATTGAAAATCCAACCGACAGCAATACAACTGCTGCCGGTCTGCCGTGATCCTGTAATTGGCACTGATCATCAATTACTTACGATGATCCATGTTGATCACTCCTTGCCGATTAGCTTTCTTTACATGTAAGAACCAATTCCTAAAAACCATTTACATGCAGATCACTAACAACTTCAGTGGTGAAAGTAAGAATCGTCTCCTAAATGTCTGCCACCACAAAAGAAAGCTTTCATGCACCCAAGCACTGTCCAGTCAAGGAGTTTGTGCACCAACTGTGCACGCTGTGTTCATTATGGAGAGTATTTGCGAAGATATCCATTTGATAAGAGTGGGGTTTGCTCATCGAGCCAATAGCCGTGCTGAGAAAGAAGCGAGGGTTAACAAGGCCAGTCTGGCCGGCATTAGGGCGTGTAGGCAGGCGGTGGCTGAAACTGATTGGCAATGTCATAGTCAGCGGGAAAAGTTTCACTGCTGTCCTCCATCTCCGAGAGCAGCACTAAGGCCTGCTCCTCCTCCTCGGTGGGGTAATGGCGCAGCAGGTTCGCGGCTGTGGCGAGGATAGATGCTCCGCCTGCGCCTGCCACCAGGTAGAAACTGATGGCAAAAGTGACGTATATGAGAGAGCCGTGGTACTTTTTGTGTTGCTGCTGTAGAGACAGGATGAGCTCTGAGGCCCAGTAGCAGAAGCCTATGACGGTGGCACACTGCAACACTGATGAGAGACAAACAAAACAGTTAGGTAGGCAAATGTGACAATCTGACTTTTCTAAATAAAAAGAAGGGATCTGAAAAGAGCCCCAGTGTGAAAGATGACCTGTGAGAATATGTGCAAATGCATATCTCCGTGTGATCTTTAGGGCAGGGTGTTTGGGTCCAAACACATCCAAGAGGAAAGCAATCAGACTGCACAGGATGCCCAGGAAACAGAAGGCAGCGATCACCCTCATCAGCAAGATGGTCTGTGGATTCACACAGTAATCTGGAGGACACAGAGACATTACAAATGAGATACCAGACTCATATACATCATCTGCAGGTTTTATTGCACTAGTGCTGGTCCTCACCGTCCAGAAGCTTGGGGTCAATGTACCCCAGGACATCTGCCACCCCCAGCTCTTGTCTCGGACAGGTGCCTCCATGAACCCGGAGCCAGGCCGGTTCTGCGAGCGCCGTGCACAGCGCTGTGATGGACAGAGCTCCCGGCAGAGCCGACACCAGGCTCCGCTCCGGCTGCTTGGGCAGCGAGGTGCCCCCTCTCCTCCTCCGGCCTCCGGGGACAGCAGAACCCGGCGGGGCATACATGGTACTTCAATCTCCCTTTAGATCGCTGTATTATCGGTTTCCTGTTATTTACTGAAACGCACGAAACGATCCGTTGGTAAGGTCGGCCAACTGACTGGTTCAAAATAAAACAAGTTAGCCGGTACAGCTAATGTTACCTCGGCGATGAACGGATGACAGCGGTCCGGGCGGTTTGTTCACTTCCGTATCTAATGTTTCCAAACGACGCGTGAACTTAAAACTAGCTGCTTGATACAAACAGGATAAAGTATTTAACTCACCGGCAGACAATGGACTGATGGCCTTTAGGCCTGTTAGCTCTGCCGTTAGCGTGCGAAGCTCACTCACGTCTAACGACAAATGTCGTAAAAAATAAACTTAATGGTAACAAACCAGATGAACGACAACCTATCAACTAATCTAGCAAACTATTCCGATGAAAAAATGGCCACCTATTCGATACAGAAAACAAAGACAAAACAAAACAAAAGGCAGCTTACGATGGCTTCCTGTAAAGTATTAACTTCCTTGTTCAAACCATTCTTCTTCGTTGCTTCAATAGGCTGCAGTCTAAGCGCGAGAGGCAACCAGTGCTCCCACCTACTGATTATACAGCTAAACAACAGCTTTAAGTACGCTATTCTACATTATAAACCTTAGATTTGTATTGCAATTATGTGAAAGCATTCTATTTTATAAGTCACATACTTAAAGGTGGCAGGAATGAGTGCTTTTTGATGGGATAGCTCCACCGTGTGGTCATTTACAAAGCAGTTTTTTATTTGAGCTTTTAACTGCTGAACCATAAGGTCTAAAATCAACTTTGCTGTTAAAAATATAAACATACAAAAATGTCATAGTATAGTATGCCATGGGAAATAATAATTTACAATGTCATTATAAATGTGGTAAAATACTATAGTATAATATGCCATAAAAATATAGTTAAAATATCATAGTATAGTATGCCACAAAATATCACATTATTTCATATAAAGGTCTTGTAGCTCAATGAAAAACTGTATTATTAATTATCATGACATAGTAAACTATGACATTTTGTACACTTTATGCCATACTACACTATGACATATTTATGGCATTCTATACTATATTTTAATAAAATGATATGGCATATTGTACGATGATTTTTTTCACCGCATACTATATTTTGACATTTTAATGTACTATAATATTACTTTTTAAAATATAATTTCATGGCATACCTCATACTAAACTGTGACATTTTTTTATGACATACTATAGTATGACTTTTGTATGACGTCTACAACAACTACTACTAGAAGACATTTCAGTCATAAAGGAAGGTCACTTTCTCGTCACTGAATATGCCCATTGTTTGGAAAAGCTGTACTGTGTACTTCATCAGGATGCCAGAGTCAGACACTTCTCATCACATGCAAATAAAATCCAAAAGACACGCAAAGCTGCTCCCCATAAACTACACACATTGTATAAAGACAATAATGAACACATTCACAGATGTTTTTTTCACGTACAGCCCCATACAGTACAGTACGAGTGGGTAATGCCAACAAAGTTATGTATTTAGTGTACCAGGGAAGGTATATTCAGACCTAGAATGCACAGAGGGTAAAAAGATGTAATGCACTTTATTTATAGATAAAGGCTTAGAACATGCTATATATATATATATATATATATATATATATATATATATATATATATTACAGACTGATGTAATTATGCAGGTCCAGAAGATAATACAATAATCATTAAATAAAATAAACACCTTTGGTACAATATTTTGAGACGACAATCAACACAAATTATAGATTTTTCCATGTGTAATGTTGAAAGCAATGATTATCTGTGTAATGTATGATATATTTATGATATATTAACATAACACGCAAAAATAAACCTGTCAAGTGGAGCAAACAACGCAATGTTTTTGTGTTTTCTCACAGAAACAGGTTTACGATAGTGGATATAGGATCTAATCTCTGATCGTCTCCGCAGAAGGTGGCGGTAATGCACCTAAATACGCTGGTAGTCGACCGCTTTTAAAACCACAAAAGAAGAAGAAGAAGCAACAAGCAAAGATGGCGGCGCTTCCGATATGGTTGTTTTTGTGAACTTTTGTACTTTGTTCCTTGCTGCAACTACATTCCTTTTCAATTTGTCTTCAAGTTGACACATCGCTGTTGATCAGCACAGGAGCGCTGCATATCTGAGCGGGTCGTTGTGACACTGCGTCGTGGTGTCCGTTAAATTAACCGATATCTCTGACGTCCGTTAACTGTCAGCGGTGACGGAAATAAGAAGACGGTGACAGACGGGCTCAGAAACTGGAATAACGATATATTAGCAGCTCCGACATGAAGCAAAATCTGACCCTGGTTCAGAGGCTGAACGCACACCCGGACTCCCGGTGCTGGTTCGTCAGCTGGAGCCCAACCGGGACGCTGCTGGCCTCATGTGGGGGCGACAAGGCCATCCGGATATGGGGACGAGAAGGTGAGTTGAGTTGATACAAATCTAATAGTATTGCAATTTATTGATTAAAAGTAATAGTCAAATAATATTATAGTAAAAGAAAAATGTATTGCACATGAACGTTAAAGGAAGTAAAGTTAATGTCATTGCTCTTATGTTTAAGTTATATTCTTGAAGTTATATAGAGTTACACGACTTCTTACTAGTTTTCCTTCACTCCCTGCATTCCCCCTCTTGGGGCTGATCAGAACAAGTAAAATAAAGGTGATGTTTTATGTTTCTGTCATTTCCTTTACTTAATAATCTTCTTCTATTATGAGTAAATCAAACTTTAAATACTGCTATGTGAGTTTTGTATATAGTTCTTTGGAGACATTGACTTGTTATTCAGGGGATATAAATCAAATCAAATAATCTAAATGACCTGTCATTGATACTGGTTAGGTTTTGGTGATATGGACTGAATCCTCTATCGCGGTATATGTAATTATGTATCGAGTTATGATGATTTTCTGGAAAATTTAACAGAGAAACTATTTGTTAGATCCTGTAACTCCATATTGCCCATAAAGCAGTCTTGCTCACTGATTTTTATCTGCCTCCATATAAACGACTTCTCTCTTTGCAGGTGACTCTTGGATATGTAAGAGTGTGCTCCAGGACGGACACCAGCGCACCGTGAGGAGAGTGGCTTGGTCTCCCTGTGGGAACTATCTGGCCTCTGCCAGCTTCGATGCAACCACCTGTATCTGGAAAAAGAAGAACGACGAGTTTGAGGTTAGATGATCTATTTAATCTTCACTTTTGAATATGCTGCACCCTCGTAGATTTTACCCAGAGTTTCACCCTGTCTTCTAGAGTTTGACCGTGTTAGAGGGACATGAAAATGAGGTCAAGTCTGTGGCGTGGGCGCCTTCGGGGAATCTGCTGGCAACATGTAGCCGAGACAAGAGCGTCTGGGTCTGGGAAGGTTTGTGTTAAACTACACTCGGATGCAAGGCATGAAAAGCAAACCTACTGATCTGTGCCTCTTCTCATGTCGATGTAAATGACTTTCCCTTTGCGTTTCACAGTGGATGAAGAAGATGAGTACGAGTGTGTTACCGTTGTGAACTCTCACACACAAGATGTCAAGAATATTGTGTGGCACCCGACACAGGAGGTAGGTTACCCTCTGCTCTATGCACCTGAATGATTTCTCAATATGTGGCTCCGTTATCTCACTGTGTATTTGCCGTATGTTCATACAGCTCCTCGCTTCAGCCAGCTACGACAACACCGTTTGCATTTACAAGGAAGAGGACGATGACTGGGAGTGCCGGGCCACCTTGCAGGGACACACATCCACAGTCTGGAGTTTGGCTTTTGACGCCACTGGACAGAGGCTGGCCTCCTGCAGCGACGACCGCACCGTGAAGATTTGGAAAGAGTCTCCTCTTGAAAGTGGTACTAAGCATTAGTCTCATTATAAATACTATTTATAAAATGCTTCATCCAATCAATGACTAAACTACATTTTATGTAAATTTGATAACTTTTTTTCCAACACAAAGCACCTCAGCAGGCAAAGATCATCGTAAGAAGAGAAGCTGCATACAATTGGAGACGTCATTTATATCCGTCACATACTTGAGTTATGAGTAATAACATCGCACCTTTTTCTATATTATGACAAACCTCTAAAAATATCAGGCAGGTCTCAATGTGTGCATGTTTGTGGTTAGCTTCCACATAAAGGGATGTCTGCATTATTGCAACAGAGCAAATATTTTAATCAGCAGTGAAAGAGCTGCTGCAGTAGATATTTTTGTCAACTGTATGTTATTTTTGATGACTAATTGATCTGTGGTTTAGCTCGTCAGAAAATAAATTTACAAAGTTTATACAACCCTAACGTCACTACTTTTTGTCAAAGTGTATAGGTGGACAGATGCTGGTGGACTGTCTCATTCTCAAACTGTTTTTGTTTCCTGCTCTGCTCGTTGAACAGGAGACTTGTCGTGGAAGTGTGTTTGCACTCTGTCTGGGTATCATGGACGAACAGTGTATGATGTCGCCTGGTGAGACATTTCATTTTTATATATTGTTTGGGCATAATGCACTCTGAGCTCCGTTTGTACCCTCTGGTTGTTGAGATCTGTGGATCAGTCGGCTTGTCCATTAAGATTAACTCACCACATATTCTCTGCCCCTTCATGGAATACTATACATCTATTTATCCATATTTTATGTGGCATGATACCAGTTAATTGATCAAACGGTAATGTTTATCCTTGTTCAGGTGTCGGCTGACTGGCGCTCTGGCTACTGCCTGTGGTGACGATGCGGTGCGAGTGTTCAAGGAGGATGAGACGGCCGATCCGAACCAGCCCGTGTTCTCGCTGGCTGCTCAGGCGACCAAAGCTCACAGCCAGGATGTCAACTGTGTTGCCTGGAACCCGAAGGAGGCGGGACTCCTGGCTTCTTGCAGCGACGATGGAGAGATCACCATCTGGAGGTTCCAAGAGGAAGACTGAACACAACCGGCCTCCCACTGAACAAGACGTTGTAGCGAGCAACACTGGGGACTGTGCGGTCCAGAGGTCAACGCAGAAATATTGTTCATTCAGCTTTTCTAGATTGCTCGGCAGGATTCAGCTTGATATAACGGTGTATGTCTAAACTGAATGCTTCACTTCTTTTGCTCTGTACGTCTACATGTTTCTTTTTAAGAGCTCACTTAAGAATTTGACATTTATATAAACAAAACAAATAAAACAATTGTGTGCCTTCTCTTTATTGCAAAAAAAGTATTCCAGACATACTACAAACATTTAGACCAGTTCAAGAATTTGATTTTAAAACAACAAAAAAAAAGTCCAAAAATATAACTCGACAGCTTTGTATTTAAAAACCCAATCTGGAATCAGAGCATCACTAACTTAATAGGGCAGACCTTGTTTTTGATCAATGTAATGGTTTATCAAATGTCAGTGAGAATTGAAAGTAAATCGGAGTACAAAGTTATACAGACCTGAACACTCAGATTGTTGCCATGTATGATTATATTAACTAAACGGATCCTGTACAGTATTCCTGGACTGAGACTCCTAGACAACTGCACTAAACAATAAAAGTACTTATTTTCACGAGGGTAAAGATGACATGCTAACAGAAAGTGAAGGGCCATTAATCAGGCTGAATATCTACAGGTAAAAAAAAAAAAAAAACACCTACTGATCCCTCTCAAACAATAATGCAAAACTCAAGTTATTGATTAGTCTGAGTCACTGTCTCCCTCGCTGTCAGCCTCCTTCACATCTGCGCTGAACTTGTACTCCTGATCACAGCCCATGTACGCGTCACTCATGAAGTACAGGGTGTAGTTATGAACGCCCATCGCCGGTGCAACAAAGTCCAGCTTGACCTGCAGAGGGGGGGGACAAGATAAACAAAATGAGGCCCCTCAAGATACGCGAAAAACAGAGACTGACAGTGATTCCTCGTTTTACAGTTCGATACGAGACTCTCACTGACCTTTGCTTTCTGCTGGAGAGTCAGCCTCTTGATAGAGATAAGGCTGTTAGACTTGGGGTCTCCGATCACCACCCACCAGCCCTCCTCACGTTTCTGTAACAATGAAAAATATTTAGTAAAGAGTCATTACATGTCCAGGAAAAGGAAAAAGTATTTAAGACATTCTTGGACATGCAAAAACACAATGGCGTTTACCTGTGGGAAGAGAGGTGCGATGACGGGTCCGGTCACCTCCTCCTCTCTCTCCAGCTGGACTTGAACCAGAACTGGACTGCCACTGTGAAGAAACATACATCAACAATTACCAAACAATAACCTGATGAAATATAAGCAGCCGTTACTAAACTTTAGGATTTCTTCCTCGGCATTACTGCAAACAATGCTGCCGACAGAATCCATACATACCTCTTGATATTTTCCTTTTCTGCCACTTCATAGGACAGCTCTATGTTGGGGTAGCGGTTAGAGAAGCGAGCCACGTCGGCCATCTGGGCATCTGAAAGCTGCAGTAAAGCAGTTCTGTCTTCATCCTCCATCTCCATGATGTCAAAGATACTCTCCACCCCCTGAAGAACAGAGCAGGGATAAGACGGTCGGTGTCACGTACACTCGTATTGAAGCAAGAGTTATGACTTAGTGTAACTACAGAACACTGGTGTACCTTATCTGTACAGCGCTTGATGTGCTCTGAGGTGAAGAAGGGCAGCTGTTTGAGGTACGAGTCCTTGGACCACATGGCCTGAGTGACCATCTGGGCCAGCTCCATAGCAGCCAGTGCAGGACTCAGCCAGCCGTTACTGGACAGCACATCAACGCAGGCCTGGATCAGACGAACCGCCTACAAAACACAACACACGGGTTAAATATACACACAGGAATACAATCCTGAAATTTAACAGTTTTCTCCCACTCGGTGCCACAACCTCCATGAACATGTACCTTGCTCAGGATATCCTCCGTGTCCGACTGCAGCTCAGCGCTCAGCTGCATCCTGGAGAGGTGGGCTTGCAGCAGCAGGTTTGTCTTCACGTGGGGGTCGTTGAACTTGGGGTTGTTCAGTTTGTGGGGCACTTTCTGTGCCAACTGAAATACAAAAAGAAGTTGTTCCAACACAAACATACTGACTTGGTAGAGAAGTGTTAGTGTGACTGTGATGTGCTGAAAATGTCTGGTTCTGATTGTTTACCTGTCGGAGAATTGCGTCCTCGTGATGTCTAATGGGAATGTTCTTGTATTCGGCAGCGTTGGAGATGATCTCAATCAATCCACGGATCTTTGTCTTGGCATTCAGGGACATGCTGAACAACTCTGCCAAACACAACCACACAACAAGTCAGTCACGTGTTCATTCAACACATTTTATATACACAAAAGGATCTACGACAGGCATAGAGATAGGCGATAACAGATTTACAGCTAGGACCGTCTTATTGGCACTAACCGATGGTGGTGTAGTTGATGTAGTAGTAGGCAGCGATCATGCCCAAATTGAGCGGTGCTACGTCCATCTCATCCTCTATGCTGATGCACTTGGACTGCTCCAGGTCATGTAGCGTGTGTTCCACCAGCTCAGACAGGTGGTCTGACAGGTGACGATGGGACATGCCTGACAAGGTAAGCACAAAAAGACATTTGTTCCCAACATTTCATCCGGTGTACGAAACACCATATTTATTCTGTATTTCAAAGCAGTCGTTTGCTTCGTAAACCCGACAGCATGAGACTCACCTTGCAGGTTGTAGTAGTTGGGGTTCTGGGTCATACGGCGGTAGAGGAATGTCCAAGTCAGGTAGTCCACAGCGTCCTGCTTGTTCTCCACAGTCTTGGTCACAATCTCGGCATTGAAGTGGTCATGGAGGCAGTGGTCCAAATGAGACTCCACCGGCAGCGGCTCATACAGGAACTTCTTGAAGAAGTCCTAACAAGAAAAGAAAAACAAACTATTTTAGTTTGCTCTTACTGTCATCAACTGACAAGACACTGACAGAAACAGCAGGATCTCTCTCTACCTTCTTGGAGCCCTGACACATGATAACACAGCGTCCCTCATCATCCAGCATTGGTCTGTTCGCCTTGCCCACCATCTGGAGGACGTCGTATATGGGATAGTCCACATAACTAAGAGAAAGAGGGGAAGCAGAATGTCAAGAACACAATACATATTATTGCATAGTCCACATCTTTATGAGAGCATCGACTAGTGGGAGCCTTACGCATGGATTTTGCCATTGTAGTACTGGGTGTCCATGACAATGACGAGGTGTGCGGAGATGTTGATGCCCCAGCAGAGTGAACGAGAGGACACTACCACCTGAACAGCACCTGCAAAAAAGAACGAGAGATTACAATCATAATTATTTAGTCCTAAACCTCTACCGACCAAGCAGAAAGTGCAGAGGGACTCGTACCGGAGTTGAAGAGCTGCTCCACTATTCTGCGTTCGGTTGCAGACAGGCCCTCGTGCAGGTAGCCCACGCCGTTGGCCAGAGTCTCTTTAAGAGTCGAGTCATTTATTTTCTCCAGGAATGGTGCAAGGTCTTTCTCGGTGCAATGCAAGAACCTACAGAGAGACAAACATTTGTTCTTTCGTCCACAGTGTCGAGGTGTAATGGAAACATTAGCACAATCTATTCATCACATAGTACAGGCATGATCTTATTGTAGTGACTGACCTCTGAGGAACCACGTCAGCGGCACAGAAAGTGAGGATGTCGATGGCTGTGAGACGAGTCTGTCTTCGGGATGGGACGAACACCACGGCTGGCTTGGAGGGAGAGTGCCTCATGATGGCGTGGTACACTGGCTTAGCCATGGACAGCAGGCGAGTATGAGTGTGACTCACATTGAAGCCCTAAAACAGACCAGAAAAGTTAACAGCAAATCAGGAGTTCATGTCTTCTTGGCTGGCTGCACGTTTGAGTACAACACACCTATTTTTTGTTGACTAGCACACAATTTACAGACCTGGATGTGCAGCTCCAGCGGCACCGGTCTGACGTTGGGGTGGAAGTTGAATGTGGCTGTGGTGCTGCAGCCCAGCCAGTGGGCCACATCTTTGGCGTTGGACAAAGATGAGCTGAGGGCCACGATACGGATGGGGCGCTCAATCTGAGAGGAGATGTACCTCATCCTGGAGCAGATGACCTCCAACACAGGCTAATGAAAAGAACCAAGGGAAGTTAGCATGATGCACATGATGACTATTGCAGTGCACGCCTAGTGTGTATGACATGACGTGTTATGTTCTTACTCCATTTTCTCCTCCGATGAGATGTGCCTCATCCACAATGAAAAGGCTGACGTTCTGGACGTTCTTCCTCTGTTTCCAGCGGCGAGACAGGATGTCCCATTTGTCGGGGGTACTGACAATAATGTCACCTTTTCCCAGGAGCTTCAGATCTGTGCTAGTCTCTCCCGTCAGCAGCACCACCTTTTTGTTCAGGATGTCCTGGAACTTCTGGTGCCAGTCGACAAACACCTGAGTGACAGAAATTGACACATTTGTTTATATAATGGACGCAAAAATTAAGCAATGCTAGCTTTAATAGAAAGCTCACTTAAGTTCCAAATGACTTCATACCTGCTCGGCCAATGCTTCCATTGGGGTGATGTAGACGCAGCGACCTTCTGCGTTGTGCAGCAGCATCCTCAGAATAGCAAACTCGGCACAGATGGTCTTTCCGCTGCCAGTGGGAGCTCCAACAAACACGTTATCATCACTGTTGTACACAGCGTTGAACACTGGAGGAACAGAAACAATACAATGTAAGTCAAGACAACAATGTGCTCTGGACAGAGAGCCCCGGGGCACTCCTTCACCTGAAGAACCACAGAGTACAGTCTGTACCTTGTGTCTGAATGGGGTTGAAGAAGGGGAATTTATTCTGGTAGAGAGCCTCAAAGGCAGAGTTCCTGAGAGCAGTGACGGGCAGCGGCTGCAGGTCCAGCAGCTCAGTGGGTGGGGGGTATTTCTCTGGTAGGATCAGGTGACGGAAGGACACTGGGAGCTGAGTCTCACAGGCTAAAACAAGAGATGCACAAAATAAAGCAGTTAGTTGAAATGCTAACGTAAACATTGTGCGAATTCTATAAAGACACACGTTTTAATGAAGCACTTACAGAGCCATCGGTCTGAGACCACGCGGATGAAGTACTGTGGAGGCAGAGGCTCGAACACCGGGACAAAGAAAGTCACGAGGTGTTCGTCCTGGGCGTACTTGGCTTTGAGCAGGAAGTACTCG